ACACAATTAGAAGAAGATGGAATCATACATATGTATACAGATTCCAGCACAATGTAATTATAATACCTGATGAATGGATAGTACACATGACCAAATTCTGAAGACATCTAACAAGATGTGACATGAAGTCTGGAGGTTTCTGGTGTTATTTGAACCAAAATATATCATATTGAAGAGATGATTGATGTTACAAATCACCAAAATATGCCCAAAAAGTTCATAAAATTCCACATATTTGTGAACATTTTGTGACAAATGCTCAGGGGGACCTTCCAGATATCCACATTTTTGTACTTATGTGCTCCTATTAGCTCCTATATGTTCCTATATACTGTAAAAGGCCCCAAAATGGCTTTATCTGCATGGATAGTCCAGTAATTACTTGACATTCCCCCCCTTTATGATACTAATTCCCAGAGGGTGTGTTTCCTGATGCTCGTCACTCTGCAAGAGAGGGGAACGTATAACGGTCTATTCGGCCTGTAAGTACTGTGTATACCGATAGCGGTGAATGATCATAACTTCCACACCAGCATATGGGCACTGGGTGGTGGCTTGGGTCCAGTCGTCGGAGGCGCCTTGGCCCACCATACCACGTGGAGGTGGATTTTCTGTACGCGTTCATTAACTATGACCATCAGCGTACTTTCATTGAAACTGTTTCATTGTCGCAGATCTCAATGTTCCTGGCTGCGGTATTGCGTTAATGTTCATAGTATTCGCGCTCAAACTCAATAGATCGGACCCCGGCACCATTCCGTCTGCGTTGGCTCGTCTAGATTGGATGTGAGTTACGGAGTTACCGATGACGACCTCGAAGCTGATACCATTCAGCGGGAACACGTTGGTTATCGCGTCGACGTGTGCCTGTGTGATTGGATTGACCTGGGGCGGTGTTGTCTTCGGCTGGCGGTCTGCTCACGTTGTCGTACCGATCGTCCTTGGAATTGTGGGCCTCGTCCTCTTTTGCGTGTACGAATGGCGTTTCTGCGATCGCCCCGTGGTATGGTGTGGCTCAACTCCGGATAGTGATCGCGACTAATGCCGACTGCAGGTCCCGTTCTATCTCCTATCGAACCGCACGAGTTTGAGTGGGTACGTGACCCCCCCCCCCCGTTAGACAATCGATTGTGTCTAGTAATGACGTTCTCTTCAGATATATCCAGATATCGCTTTGCGCCTTCATAACCATCACGCTCTTATGTAAGTGAATTGTTTACATGTCATGTCGTCCTCGCTGATTTCGCTCGCAGACTACCTTCCGGTGTATTATCAGGCCTGCAAGGATGCCTCACCAACGAGGTCTGGGGTCAACCTCTTTGGATTATGCTTCTCGACAGGCCCGGTTTCCATAATTGTGGGAGTGAGCATCGCCAAGCTCAGGCGATACCGCCCGCAAATCTGGATCGGATGGTGCCTCATCATTAGAGTGGATTTGCACCTGGTAAATATTAAGAAAGTCACATTATGTGGCGCTAGCGCCCATACTGCATTTTGTACGTCCATCCCTTGCGGTCGACAGCCTGCACATCACACAGCGTCATTAGTTGTATCAAGTGGAGCTGGTGGAGCATCCAGGAGTAGTGTATAACTTGATGTGATTCATGTTCTTAGAAATTCAGTTTGAACGCGATGTCTGCAGATAGTACTTCTGGGTTGACATCCAGTGATAGGGCTCCAGGTGGAGGAAGAGGCGGCCTAAGGGCCTTGAGAGCTGCAAGAACAGCAGGCAGAAGGATATCACTCTCTTGTTTGGGCATAACTAAAGTCAATTCATGGACTCGGAGGTACAGTGGAGCAGTAGTTGTACTAAGGGACAGGCTCGAAAATATCACAACCGTTGCGGGCGCACTACACGTCGACCGTGAGAAACATTATGCCGGCGTCGTAGGCGTACTACGATTTAGCAAAATATCAGCTGCAAATCCACTCTATTGTCGGCGTAGCCCTCATTAGCACCGTCACGGAGTCCACGACCAAAGCATCGTCCATTGGCTACCAGATCATCGCCGGCTCCGGGATAGGCATCATCTTTTCTGCCGCTTACTTCCCTGTTCTGGCTCCTCTGCCGATCACATCGAATTCCCCGGCGTTGGCACTTTTCATGTTCTTTCGCACATTCGCTCAGGTATGCGATGCCTATGATCATATGAACGCTATCCAACGTTAAACACCTTCACGCAGGCGTGGGGCGTCACGATTGGAGGCACTATCTTGCAGAATGAACTTCGTAGCCGGCTACCAGAGGGCCTCGAGAGTCATGTTCCTGGACTGAACAACCTTGCATATGCCGCCATTCCGATCATCCGCGCATTACCACAGCCATTGAAAGATCAAGCTCGCCATGCCTTCGCGGAGTCGCTCGCGACTGTATGGAGGCTTCTCATTGCCGTCGCAGGGGTTGGATTAATTTTCAGTCTACCTATGAAGGGGCTTCCGTTGCATACCATGAAGGATGAGAACTGGGCGATGCGTGAGACGGAGAAGAAGGGCGCGGAGATCCCTGAGCTGAATGGTGCATTGTAGGTTGATATTTGTTCTCCCGATATGCGTGCTCGCAAGCGTTTGTAACACGGACACCGTCCCGTTGTGTTGCACGTTAGAGTATTGAAATATACGACGATACCGATCTCGAGTGCATATCTCTTGTATGATACAGCTGCAAGGTCGATTGGATTGTATTCTTGGGGTTTTGACGGCGTATCGTGGTTACCACCAACACTGACTACTGTTGCAATGGGGAAAATCCCTCTTGAACTATCACCGGCACGTCATGCCCCTCGTAGTTCGCCCTCGCCGGTTTTATTCTGCCCGTTTGCACTCGACGGGCCAATATGCATTGTGTTCGTTGTTGATCCTTGAAGCACCCCTCGGGTTCCCGAGCATGGGTGAGCCATAATGCTTTAGCGAAAGACCCGAGATGCGTGAGCAGTGCTCACGCATCTCGGGTCTTCACCACCTTCGGGAGAAGCAGCACCTTGTCAGAATCCTCCACGTCGTCGCAGCACATCAACCACCGCAGCGCATCGTGCGGCTCGGGACCCACGTCGTTACGCCGGCTGCGCTGAAGGTAAAACCTCTTCAGCGTCTTCATGATCCCGCAGAGTGCTTTCACCTCCGCGTTCAAGAGACCGTTGCTGGTGGATCCAATGAGCCACTGCTTCATGGTCGCGGTGAGGCCGACGTCGGTCTTGACGGCATCCTTTAGGATCTTGAAGTGAACGCGTAGGGCCGCGAGGAGATTGCTCTCGCTCGGTCCGAAACCGCTGAGCCGCAGGTACTCGATAGACGGAAAAGAGGCGTGCACGGTCTGAAATACCGCGACGTAGTTGCCGCTGTGGCGCCGGACTCGAAGCCCACCTGGCACAGGTGCAGGCGGTGCACGGTGGACAGGGTCGAGGCGATGTCTTCGGCGGCTTCGAGACTTCCAGGGACGGGAGGATGATTGAGCGAGTGGGAATGTAAGGTAAGGTCGCTGAGCTGCGTGAACGCGAGGCCTTGCTGCAACCTGACGAAATCGAGCATGGGGGCGAATACCATCAAGTTGCGCACCGTCGGCGCTGCGCTTCGTAGGATCTGTTGGATGGAGAGCTCGAGGGACGAGAACGGCTTGCCGCTGTCAATCGAGTTCGCCGGCCGGGGCACGGTTCCATAGTCATCGCACACATGGACCGTCGACGTACGTTTGGCGAAGATGAGCAGGTGCCGGACGTTGAAATCGTATGCACGGTCCGGACGGGCGAGCTCCTCGGCGAGGCGCTTGAGCTGCACTTCTCCGTTGACAATCGTTGTGTGGAATCGGTAAGCAAGGAGACCATAGAGACCGGAAGTAGTATAACGAGGGGTGTGGCAACGGCTCGGGAGGCGTGCGGACAGAGCCGCACCGTTACACTTATGCGTAGGTGTCATGGCCGGGTTGTCATCCGAGGGGAGGATCGTGTCCTCCCCATCCCCCCAGCCCGGAGGCGTGGGAAACCTCGCCATGGTGGTGGTGAGAGGTCAAGGGAGCCCAGAAACGAGTGTTTTTATATCAGGTGGATGCATAGTATCAGCACCAGTCCGCCCCTTGGTCATAGGTGCCTAGATATATCGTGTCAATCTTTGCATTCTAAGCCAACATGAGGGAGAGAGCATCCAATTCGGCGGTCCTTGTTATTCCACTGCAAATCACTACTCATAATCCCTTCATGATCTCGCGATATACCAGAGACTAGCGGTGCTACATATCCGTCAAACCAGAACTTTCCAGTCAGAAAGTGCATTTACATTTCTCTTGAGTATTGCAACGGATGTTCCGGAACACCGTGAACTTTCGACGACACTGATTCACGAGCCAAGGCAGCGTATTTCCTTGTATCTCCAGGAGGAAACTCTTCCCTTGATGATCACCGGAACGCCATCGACCTCGCCGTTCGCCTTCACCGGTTTCAACTCACCCTTATGCACTTGACGGGCCCACTCGTACAGCGCCTTTTCCCGGTCCATGTAGCACGTCTCAAATCCGAGAGCACAGTCATACCACATCTCGGCGGCGAAAAACCCGAGATGCACGACCACTTCCTTTGGGAGCAGCAGCGCCTTGCCGCTGCCCTTCACGCCGTCACGTCGAAGCAACCACCGTAACGCATCTTGCGGCTCGGAACCCTCGTCGTTACGCCGGGTGCGCTGGAGGTACAACCTCTTTAGCGTCTTCATGATCCCGCAGAGTGCTTTCACCTCCGCGTTCAAGAGACCGTCGCTGGCGGATCCGATGAGCCACCGCTTCAAGGTCGCGGTGAGGCCGACGTCGGTCTTGATGGCCTCCTTTGGGATCCTGAAGTAAACGCGTAGGGCCGCGAGGAGGTTGCTCTCGCTCGGTCCGAGACCGCTGAGCCTCAGATACTCGATGGACGGAAAAGAGGCGTGCACGGTCTGAAATACCGCGACGTAGTTGCCGCTGTGGCGACCGGACTCGAAGCCCACCTGGCATAGGTGTAGGCGGTGCACGGTGGACAGAACGAGGGTCGAGGCGATGCCTTCGGCGGCTTCGGGACGGCCAGGGACAGGCGGATGATTGAGCGAGTGGGAATGTAAGGTAAGGTCGCTGAGCTGCGCGAACGCGACGTCCTGCTGCAACCTGACGAAATCGAGCATGGGAGCGAACACCATCAAGTTGCGCACCGTCGGCGCTGCGCTTCGGAGGATCTGTTGGATGGAGAGCTCGAGGGACGAGAACGGCCTGCCGCCGTCAATCGAGTTCGCCGGCCGGGGCACGGTTCCATAGTCATCGCACACATGGACCGTCGACGTACGTTTGGCGAAGATGAGCAGGTGCCGGACGTTGAAATCGTATGCGCGGTCCGGACGGGCGAGCTCCTCGGCGAGGCGCTTGACCTGCACTTCTCCGTTGACAATCGTTGTGTGGAACCTGGCGCGGGCGGAGGCGGCGCGCACGAACTTTGAGACGCCGGAGAGGACCGCGCCCATGGGGCCACCGTCCGTGCATACCATCCAAAAGATGATGTCCAGCACTTCGAGAGGCAGAGTGTCGATACTGCGAACCATGCCTTCCTTCGTGGGTATGAGACAGAATGGGACGGAAGAGAGCGTGGCGGACAGGTAGCAAGGAGTTGGTTTTTATACCGATCACGGGCTATTGTTTGATTGTCGAACTCCCTGCGTGTGGCGTTGTGGCATTCTCTCCTGGGTACGCTATTGGCTATGCTTCTTACTCATTCAACGTTTCCAAGTGCGGTAAACCAGGTGATATTTGCTGATATACAATGGAAATGGCTGGTCATACAGAGTGAACATTGAAGCACGAATCGAGAACACAATACCGGGGATAAGTGAACACGCGGGCATCTACTCATGCCTTGCCCTTCAACACCGCAATCCTTGCCTCTCGCTCGCGCTAGACGTTCGCGGTCAGGAAAAGTTTACTGTGCTAAGATTTGCAACACTCACGTTGTCAGCACCCTTCTGAAGCCTCAACAGCTCGACCTCGCGGTTTTTCTCTTGTACGAGCTCCGTGATGCGCTGCGCGTGTTGCCGGCTTGCCTCGTACGCCTCTGCCTTGATACGGAGCTCGGTCTGCATCAACTCGTGCCGACGCTGAGCTTCGAGCCACTGAAGCTCTTCCTTGTGCGCGGCCTTCATCGCCTTAGCATGTGCATGGTGCGCCTTCTCATCATCCTGCGGGCGAGTGTCAGAGGCATTGCTCGCTGATGAACTACATCAGAACATACCTTAATGGCGGAACCCTGCATCTTCTGCAACTCTGCAAGCTCCTTCATCGCGATAGCGAGCGCCTTCTTCTCATCCTTGGCCTCCCGCTGGATTATCTTGGAAAGCCTCTTTCCCTCTTTGGCTATACCGGTGCTTCGTCAGCACAGCGTCATTGTACGAATCGTCCGAATGGGGTTTTTCACCTTCCTCTTTCACAAGCTTTTTGTGCTGCTTCTGACTTAGGCTGCGCGACACGCTCGCCGAGCGCTCGCGGAACACAGAGCGCGTATCCTCGTCCAGTTCCGCGTTCGGGCCGATCATGCCAGCACCGTTGGCGAACGTGCCACCGTTGAGCGAGCTCGCGTTCGTGCGCGAAGTGCGAACCGTGCTGGCGCGACGGGAGCGTTGCCCCAATGAGCGGGATCTCGCAAGGCGTTCCTCATCCGAGGAGTCGCTGAACGCAGATGCGGCAGCCAGGCGCGAGGGAGGCGCGCTCGAACGCCGGCTTTTGGCGCTCTTGGCGCTCTTGTGGCGGCGGAGGGTTGCGGCGCGGGCGTCGGAGGCTTCCGTTTCGGAGTCGCTGTCCCCGGGCGCTACGATGCGGCGGATGGATGGCATGTCGCGGGAGGAGCTCTCGGCGACAGAGCTAGCCTTCGAGACCTGAGGGTAGTCCCGGCTGAGGGGCTCGTTGCCGGTGATGGGCGAGTTGGACGTTTTCTTCGCGGAGGTCGTGGGTGGGACGGGCGAGGATTTCTCAGGGGGCGGGAGGAGTGTGCTGTCATGTTTAGACTTGGGAGGCTCCGGCACCGCGGCATCGATGGGTCCAGTTGGGGTCGCGACGACTTTATCTTCGTGAGCAGGGATCAGGGATGGGACGATTTGGGAGGGGGCTGCGGGCTCTTGGTGGACACCACCGGGCTGCTCGTATGTGCCAGGGATGGGCTGATGAGTCTCCGGTGTGGGCATCGCAACGTGTTGCTCGGGCTCTTGCAACGCCGACGACTCCTTGTTGGACGACGAGAAGGGGTTGTTGAAGATGGCCATTGGTGCTGCAACGCATCGTCAGCTCACGATTATCTCCTCTAGGCCGCCGAAGCGGGGAAGACGAACATACCGTCGTAATAAACTGACTTTTCGCTGGAGGGGGTGGGCAGGACGGCTTCGACGAGCATGCAAGTGGATGAAGGAATATTTGGTCTTTCTGCATTGGAATTCGAGTCCATTTATGCGAATTGGCTGGCTGGGGATGACGCGTGGCGGAATAGGGAGGTGGAGCTCCTGATCGTCCCTCCGCCTCCCGGCCTGAACCCGCGAGCCTCGAGGCTGATCGACCCGGGCTGCACTGCAAGAAGACATGGAGAATGACGTCATTCCACCCGAGACCATACACGCGCTTTCTGGTCCCGCGCGAGTCGGAGCAGAAAGCGCTTGGGTGATGATAAGTCATGATCTTGTTCGTCGCATCGGCACAACGAATAGAAGACGTTATTGATACTACAAGATGTTACATACATTGAAATCGGTATCTAATCCCTGATACTCATAGCGATGAAATCCAGCATGATCACGTAAAAGCGGATGGATAAGCGGAATGACCACGCGCAAAAGCGACGAAGAAAGCGGCCGGTCGTCAGACATAGCCGTAACCCCACCTGGGACGACGCCCGCCGTCACTACTGGTCGTACACCCGGTAATCCTTCGCCATCATGGGCCCGGTCCCGCTTGATCGCGATCGCCTCCTCCCCGGGTTCAACAGCCTCGCGGCGCGCCCTCCCGACTCTGCCCGCGGGCCGCTGCCGGCGGGAGTGTAGTGCAAGTGTTGCTGCGAGATCACGCTCTGCTTCGTCCCGCTGCAGTATTTGCAGCCGCAGTCGGGCCTGCCGTTGGATTTGACGGGACGGCCCTCGGCGAGCCACTTGGCGTGCATGAAGAACTCGGCGGGGGAGCGGAAGGTGGAGCTATGTCCTGGTAGAGATACATGCACGGATCAGGAGAAACCGCGAGATGGGAGAGCGGGATGACGGGCGCGAACGCCTTACCGAAGAGGACGGGGTCGATCCGCGGGGCGTCCTTGTGGCCCTTCTTGCGCAGGTAGAGTTTGTAGCCCTCGGGAAACGCGTACAAGTAACAAATGTTGCGATCAAAGTGGACTAGAAGGTACGCCGAAGGTGAGTATCGAACGGCACACGGGCATGCGGTCGGTAGAATAGAAAACCGCTACTCACACCCATCCTTGTTGACGACCTCCTTGGCCAGGAACGAGCCGATAAGGTGGTACCAGTGCTTTAGCCGCGTCCTGCTCGCGTCGTCGTTCCCCTCGCACGGCTCGTAGTAGTACACCTCGTTATCGGCGTTGACGATGCGTTCGGTCGACGGCCGACCCGGGTTTCCAGGCCAGGTGGACTCGTCCCCGTCCGAGTCGTTCAGGCGGATCTCGACGGATGCGCCGAGGCGGAGGTCGTAGAGGCCGCTGCGCGAGTGCTGCCAGACGCCATGCGAGCCCATCGCGAGAGGGGGGAAGAAAGGTTGATCGTGTCGGCGATGAAGATAGCAAGGTCGAGGTAACGGTGAGACAGGTGATAGATATCGCGAGCCTCACGACGCCGTCGATTATGCGCTTGGCCAGAGCCCGGCGTGTATCTTCTTGTATGTAAGAGGCGCTCCCCGTGCAATGGCAATTCCTCGCACCAGGACTCGCTATGAGCGAGATATCAGTTGCCGCCAGAAAAGGCTAACCAATTCGGAGCGACGAAGACGAAGACGAAGGCAGACCTACCTCATCATTTCAAACCCCTTGCCGTACACCTTGCAATCCATATATATCACTATGCCGAGGATCTGGACAAGTTGTGTCGGCCCGTGGGCATGCAAGCTCTCAGATCTCAGGGTAGACACGAGAAGGTTGATCTCGAGGACAGCGCGTGGTAGCTGGTTATCGACGTGATCGATGTCGAGACCTAGCTACGACCCGCTTTGTTCGCCCCCTGGCGACTCGTATTCATGTAACAGCATTTCGGATGGTCGAGACATTGTAAAGCTCGTACGATTCATGTGCAAGTTCGACGCGACGCGCATCGCTCACGACTTCCGTTGTCACTTAACCTGTACCAGTTCAAGCCTATCATAATGCCTACCTTCAGGGAGTTCTCAGCTTGGATCGAGCATGCTGATGGCCAAAGGCTTCCTGAATATGTTGTCGAGACCAAAGCCGAGGAGGTTTCTTGTTGGATACCGTCTGAGGCCGGGAAGGTGGGTTCTGAAGGTTCAATCGTAACTCGAACAAGGCTCATATCCAGGAACGTCATTTTTAAGGAGTTCCTGATCTGCTCGACAGATGCGGAATCAACCACTGAGACGAAGTGGTCGATATCCGTCGATGGTCTCAACAACTGTCGGCGAACAATACTGCGTGTTCACACCAAGCCAGTTCTTCCTACGAGGTGCGATGGCGTGTTGATGGGCGTGAACACTGTGTGTCCGTTCCAATTTACTACGATGGAGCTTACTGGTGAGTGGGACGACTTTCCTACCCCTAACTGGGTTTGGCTCACCAACGCGACGCAGACGACGACAGTCTCCTGGACGCCGCTATCAACAACGTGGGCGAGATCAAACTTGTGGGTACAGCGTCTAAATTTGATCAATGAAGGTTTGAAGGGGGTTATGTGCCCTATTGTCGGGATGTAGTGCGGACACACGTTGTCAACACGCATACGCTGTGCGAAACCGTACGCTATCTTGGGCTAATTCATATGAAGCTTCGCTCGGTGTAATAGAAGCGCCCACGGCACGAAGCTATAAAGCACCTATCGCCGCTTGCCCGCCGCCCTCGTGCTACTCCCTCCTCTCCCTACGCATACCGTCTACACGTGTTCAACCCGCTCTTGCATGGCATCACGACGGACCTCCATCGAATTGGCTAGCGTCGAAGAAGGACGCGGGTCCAGAGAGGAACCCGGGCTTCAGGTGAGACGAGATCTGGGTCGACTCTACAAGCGAGCGGTCGCTGAGCTATTCACCGCAGGACGAATCAGTGCCGAATGCTGGCAATGACCAATCCTCGACTCGAGGAGGAGATGCTCACGATGAAGCTGTCAGGTCGGTGGAGGCAGAACGAGGCTTCGCAACTAGAAACGGAGCCGATGCAGCTGGCCATCGCAACGAGCCGCCGTCCACACACGACCTCAAGGCGAACGTAAGACACGACATTCATAAATAAGGCCGCATGGTTACTGAGATGCGACGCCCCGACAGCCCGCGCAAGCGAAGGCGGCGACATCTGATGCCACGGGATGGGACTACGTATACAAACGACTGCAACTGTACGATCAGGAAATGATCAAGGGCTACTCGCAGGATATCGATAACCTCCTCATCTTCGTACGCTTTATTCTCGTCCATTTCCGCGCTTATTGAAGTAACGTGTGTATTAGGCGGGTCTGTTTTCTGCGGTGCTCACCGCCTTCCTCGTCGAAGTATACACGCAACTGCAGCCGGACAACACTCAGCTCTCCGTCCAACTCCTATCGAACATATCTCTCCAGCTCCAGCAGATCTCCTTGAACCAAGCCGCACCTGCGTCCGTCGATCCGCTCAACATGTCCTTTCAGGCCGATTCCCACGTGGTCGCGATCAACGCGCTCTGGTTCCTTAGCCTCATCCTCGCCCTTGCCTCTGCTCTCCTCGGCATATTCGTGAAGCAATGGCTTCGCGAATACATGGCGTGGCCCAACGTCTCCCCCGTCCAGCATGCCATACAGCTTCGGAAGTTCCGCTACGATGCCTTTCAGACGTGGAAAGTCCCCACTATCGTGACCTTGGTTCCTGGCCTTTTGCAGCTCGCGGTTGTGCTGTTTTTCGGCGGACTTGTCACTCTACTTTGGCCCATCGACACCGCTGTAGCTGGGATGTGCTGCGCTGCCGCTGGCCTGACCACACTCCTGGCAACGCTCACCGTATTGCTACCGCTATTTTTCGAGACTTGTCCATACAAGACACCCTTTGGATGGATGCTACTCCCTATTCTGCGCCCTCTCTATGCCCTTCTCTACAGATTCATGCTATTCATGTACAATCTGCAGTGGCCGGCTTGGCTCAAGACCGTGAAAGCCTTCTGTGACTATTGTTCAGACAAACATGCCGATCTATATTCATTTGACGGATGGGATCATCGCGATCTCGCCTTGCGGCGCTTCGGACGTGACTCAGAGAGCAGCATCGCAACTCAAATCCACTCGCTGCTGTGGCTTGCATCGCATGAGGAACCCAGAGACAGTGTGATCAAGCAATGCATCTCCGATTCACCAGGACCGCGCGTGCGCACCCGTTCTGCCCTCCAACCACTTGACGATTCTTGGGGTGTAACGTCGGAGCGATGTCTGCGTGCATACTGGAAGGCCATCTCCGAGCTGTTAGGGATGCCGTGTGTCGGATCTAAAATAACGGCGCTCGATGTACTCGACAAGGAGTGCAAATACAACGATGCCCAGGAAACCATCACAATCAACTACGACAAACTTTATCGTGCCTTTGATTCGCTGACATCCTTCAACGACACCCAAATTTCGCTCATACTCGAACTACTCAAATCCGGTCTCGATATGCTCCTCCGTGATTTGATTATCAAAATTTACTATTATTCTGACCTCTCTGCCAACTCACTGGTCATGGTGACCTTAATTGCAAGAATGAATCGTAGTTTCAGTGGCCCATGCATGGTCTTCCTTCTCAAAACCCTCGCAAACTCCAACCTGTCCCCGCTGGCAAGCCGCGTGAATATGAAGATTTTTACTTTCGTTCATGCACTTGGGAGTCGCATGCCGTACTTATGGCATGGTGCATGTATACATTTCCTGTGGCGATAGCAAGGCTGACTGGATGTTCGCAGAGCCGGAAGAAATGACTGACATGCTTGAGCTTGCATGTTCATGCTATGACCGTGCCGCGTTTCGGACGGATCCATTGCATCGTCTCCGATTCTGGGCGGCGGTGTCCGTGGTCACCCATGCATGGACAGGCTCCCAACGCTGGAGCACGGCTATGAGTGTGTTTGGTGACCGTTTGGTAGAGGCGCTCTCGCTATGGACAGAGCCTGGCAATGGACAGCCTGTTGCTGCAGAAGACTTGAGGGTGGACTGGGAGGATATAGTCTGCTTCCTGGGACACCATTCCGGCAACGCCCCCGATTGTTCAAGAAAGGTCGCAAAGTTCATTTTGGAGGCTCACCGACGCAACTCCCTCGCGGATGAGAGAATCATCAGTGCATTCATCAGTGGGAAACATTTTTGGGGTGGCCGCTGGAACAGTGCAAATGATGTATACAAGCACTTCGATATTCAGCCCACACCAGACGACGGAGGGGAGGCCCGCCCTTCATCGGATCCGCCTCATGATGTCCTGTTACATTCGAACTCTGGTCGGAAGTCCGTATCTAGGTCGTATCTCGGTACGGAACCCGTCAACGAAGCCGCTTCGTACAAGAGCGACCGCGGTGGTACGCAAGCCAATCACGAGCAAGATGCATCAAACGCACCCTCGACTTCCATGATCCTTCGTGCGCCGGGAACCGACTCTGGCTCGATCCGGATCGAGACGCGAGAGCCCGGAACTGGAAAGCAGAACATTCTTGACGAACCCTCGCCTTCTCATGGCCAACGGATTCCCCTTGACGCCCCCGAGATGATCACAGCCGAAGGCAACGCTTCACCTACTTTCACAGAGGAAGAGAGTAGCAAAATGGGGCGCAACGTCGAGTGTGCCAATGTGCCGACACTGCCTGCGTCGGACAGACAGGATGCGGAGGATGCGGAGGATACGTTGGATAGTGGCCCGGCCCACACCCCAGTCTCTACGTCGATCCAAGATCCACTGACGCATGACGTCGAACGCCAGGACGGCAGCGGCGAACAGGATAGCGCCAAAGATAGTGCTGCGGCGCAGGCAGAGGTCAAACGCAGCGGCGATCGAACTCTGGAGGTGGGACACGCGGACGGTGCAGGGTCGTCGTCAGAAGGAGGACACGAATAGCGGGACACCGATGTACGGCGGTCAGCGAGATTGAGCGGTATCAGACTCGTCTGTCGAATTGATCCCATAGTGTCGACGGTGTGCACGATATATAGCAAGAGAGCGTTCATAGCGCAACAGAACGCTGAGCCAGTCCTACAGAGCACTGAGTCGGTCTACTGTAATTATATCAACCCCCAACCGTGCGCGGAGCTGTTCATGCTCAGAACCTACAGAATACTGCGTCACTACTCTGACGCCGAGCTTGACGATGAGAGCGAGAGCCAGAAAGCCATCCGGGCGCTTGACCTTATTGTATCACCGCCACGGCCCACTGGCGTCTTCTTCCCTCTCCAGCCTCGACTGATCATGAGTGACTGAGTCCTCCGCCGACGGACGGTCTGTCCTCATGAGCGCCATCACCGCCGCCCTCGCAACACCATCCACCTCACAGAATGAACCAGTCAGCTCAGATGCGTCGCGCAAGGTACGTCGCACATCTTTCGTCTCAGACATCCGTCGCTCATACGCTGGCCCACTGTGCAGCGCAACATCGCCGACGCCATCCACACCCTCGACGAGGCCATCGGGCCCTCAACCTCCGACCTCTCGCCGCCTTCACAACGCCATCATGGTACACGGTCGATATACACGACTCTCGCCAAGTATGGCATAAAGACGAAAGAGCCGCGCGCTGCGTCAGTCGCGTTCAGCACTCCATGCACTGCTTGAACCGCCTTACTGACGCCCTGTACAGGACGAGTAGTCTCTCGCTTAAGTCAGAGGCGCTCGTAAAAGCTCCTCACCGCTCCGCCTTCCTCTCCCGCACCGCATCGCGTCGCAAGAAAGCCCCGGCCATCGCCAGTAGCAGCCAAACAACCTCCCTACCAGGGAAAGAGTTCTCGCCCTCCTCCGTGCCCTCCTTCATCTGCCGTCTTGGCACCTTCAAGTTCTCTACCTACGGCAACAAGCCTCTTGCGATCGACGCCGTTGCCGCGGCGAAGCGCGGCTGGACGAGCGACGGCGTGAAGAAGGACCGGCTGGTGTGCGACTTCCGCGGCGCGTCCTGGGTCGTCGCTGGTCCCGAAGGTCTGTCTTGGGATGCGGCTCGTCGAAAACAAAGGTTGCAACTCGCGTTGATGCACAAGGACCTGTGTCCATGGAAGACGCGCCAGTGCGATGGTAAGCTCCAAGCCTCCTTCGTGCACCTCACCGATTCCGGGAACTGAAACCCTCTGCAGATCCCACTTATCGCATACCACTCAAACCTCCAGCGCACATGGCTCGCGATGTCAAAGCCCGTGCTCTTCTACTTGAGCCGTTACTTGAGAGCATTCAAATTCGCCACCCCTTGGTAAGGTTCGCGATACCCTATAGACGCATGCAACTTGACCATAGACGTCAACCCCAGTTTCCGCGCACCACAATACGCTCGCCTCCGTGACCGTTCCGCCACCCTTCCAGCCTACCTCCGCCTCCCAAGTCTCGCTCTCTATCCCGCCCGAACCGACCTCCTCTCCTCCTCCGGTCTTATCGTTGCGTACTGTCGCTTTCCCTCCTTGCTACGCCGAACAATCCGACCGCACTCCCATCGCTGCACTTATCGATAGGGTGGCTTCTGCGCTGCCCTTTACATTTACAGCCGGGGTGTGCTTCATCTCGCACTCAAGATCTACGTCCTCCGCCTCAGGGGTCCAGAATGCCTACGCCTTCTCGCTTAATTAAGCTGCGAGACCGGACAGCAACGATCGTTTCCCCACGTCTCGCCCAATAGCTCAGCGCACCTGACACCGCCGCAGCGGACGTCCACGAGTACCTTTGTCCATCTGCTGCCGCACGGACGCACCACTTCTCTCCGGACAACATTGGTGCGCGCCTTGGATTCACGTCAGATACAGGAGTGCGTTACGACTGGCATAACGCACGATCCTGAGTCGCTCGCGGAGCACTACGACGCGCCAGGTTGAAGAGCGAGCTCGGCGTCCAAGCATCGAGCATTGACCGTTGCGAATGTTGCTCCGTTCATAGATCTAAACTGGAAGCTGACGCACTTTCCTTGCTTTCTTTTTCAGCAGCAACGTACCGGGAGACTCACAAACTGGCTTCCTTTGTCGCAGAACTCGAATAGAGCCGTTCGAACCTCAATGCTAGCGAGTGAGCGCGTCTTTGTGCGTCGCGCTCGTTGTTTAACGTTGACGCGTTCGCCTGGCGTGCAGTTTATCCCAACAACTGTACAGTCACGGGCCAGCGTCGCACGATTCAGTCAAGCCGGACAAGATCATGGACAACATGGTTCGGTACGTCGAGTGCGCCAGCCGTCAACGTTCCTCATACCGATTATACCGTCGACTTGACAATCCTCCATAGCGCACTTCCGGGCCACGACGCGTATCTCAAAACTCCGGAATCGTTTCATGATCTGATTGCCTTCGTTCGTTGTCACCCAGGAATTCATGCTCACCATCTCCGAGATGCGCAGGTCCAGTATTTCACCAAGTTTATTCCATCAGCGACTGGGTCTCAAGAGGGCAAATCGGGAGGGCGAACGACTCTTCGGATTCAGCTCTGGTAGCATTATCTTCGACATCGGACCCCCGTGCATTGCTAGTCCAAGCTCTATCCAAATGTGTAGCTTGTCAAATACAACCATTGATTGCTGCAGTCCCAGGAGATATAATCGTCATTGGCCTAGTACTATTTGGTGCCGGTCGTGGCCATTTGTGTGAGCCGTGGGTGGTTCGCGCGTTGTATGAACAAGGCCCACGTGCGCGACGCGACACATCCTCAGCCCCTGACGACTTCCAAGTTCTCGAGCCTCATCGCTCCACATATATCGACAAACTGGAGTCCTGCAGAGCGGCATAATGCCCACCTACAAGGAATTCACTGCTTGTATCGTGGACTCGGAAGGTCATCCGCTGCCTGAATTCGCTGTGGAAACCAAGGGCAACGAGGTTACTTGCTGGATTCCTTCGGAGGCCGGTAAGGTCAGTGTCATAGCGGCTCTGCGTAATTGGCCGCTATAGCGTGCGCTTACGTTCACCAGACATTCGGAGTACAGTGGAAAGACGACGTGCGCTCGACGGACACAAGAGGAACGGTGTTGCTGGACGGAACCGGGCGCACCTCAAGAGGAATCCAACGCAGGACCGGCCTGAACGCTACAAGATGTGACGGCATATACACATCGTCCGTGACGTATCAGAGATTTCAATTTGCCCCCATGGAGCTTTCTGGTGAGTATAATATCTAGCCTCCGTCCATCAGCAATGACTAACCGGTTGCAGATGACGACTCACTTTTATACCAGAGCGACGCTTTGACGCAGCTTGGCGAGATCCAGCTCGAGATAGACCGGGTTGTGGTTCTTGGGCACAAGGCGTTCCACAGTTCAGACGTCAAACTGCCAAGTGATGGCAAGGTCCATGAACGCTGCAAGAAGCTGGGGGGGCACCGAATAAAGTGAGCCGACAATTCGCTGTCATGCTTGGAGTTTTCTCAGTTCGTTCCCGCGCGCCAGGTTGGTAGGAGAAGAGAAGGTTGCGCCGACGGGAGTGATCCAGGTTAAAGGCATCGGTGGCGGGCCATGCGTGAAATTCGTGTTCCGCTACAGACCCCTCGGTTTGTAATGCGCACAACACATATGCGGACTTACTAATTTCTAGTTTGCAGATTTACTGAAGGCGCAGGGTATCGCCCCTTACGAGAAGAAAAGTGGACAGAAACGCCCACCTGTGCAAGAACCAGAGCACGAAGCCAACGTGAAGGCGGAAGATCCAGATCTTGAACTCGTAGACGACGATGAAATCGAGAAATTGGAGGTCAATCGCTGTCTGATATCATCATCCGCACGTTTTTGACTGACTCTCCTTCAAGAATCGCCTCAAGGCACTGCGAGAGAAGAAGAAAGCTCACAACCAGCCCCGGCCGAAGAAAAAGGTTAAAATCGAGCCTATCGGCGGCTTTGCATCGGGCGACTTCATTGATCTGACTTAGCGTCGGAATTGCTGGCGATGATTTTGTCCAGGCAGCGCTATTTTATGCGATATATAACTATTCTCAGTATGCTACTGAATACCCTGTCTCAGTCATAATATATCGGAGGAGCATCGAGCGAACACTAGACCGGAGGATCTAAAGGCGTTCGACCGGCCCCTTCCGTGGAGACAAACCATTGCTCAGTATCATTCACCAACGGGCTGAGAATACCGACTTACAATCTAAGCACACTGACCTTCAGTATTCCCGGCAACCTTCTCGCGCGGTCGGCAAGCTTGCCGAGGGACGACTCGACCAAGTGCGGCAGTGCTATCGCGTCTGACATTTATCCTGCTCATGGGCCTCGCACGTCCGGAAACAAAAGGCGGCATGGCAGGTGTTCCCGCTGAGGTCAAATCCTCCTCGTAAACCTGCGCTTGTCCCTAAACACCGCGCAAACGCAAAATGGCTTCATTAACACCCGAGGAACAGCTCTGCGACGACTGCTTCAAGGGCGTCAAGCTCGAAGGAACGCCGAGGGGCAGCGAGGTCAAGATCGGGCCGTACAATGCCTACGTCGCTACACCGGAGCAGAACAGGAACGCGAGAGCGGCAATAGTCTACTTTTACGACGCGTTTGGGTTGAAGGTATGTACGCATTGTCGGCCCGTTGTCGTGCACGGACAGCATTTTGAGGACCCGTATATACAGCTCCAGAACAACAAGCTTATCCCTGATATGATTGCAGAGAAGACCGGCTTGACCGTCTACGTTCCGGATATCTTCCATGGTACGTTTCCCGTTTTCGCTCGCCCGCATTCGCAAAGCTAACTCCGGTACCCTAGGTGGAGGAGTATCCCCGGACGCGATGAAGTTACCAGAAACGGCGGAGGAGGAAAGGTCCAAGGGATTGCTCAGCAAAATCACGACGACGGCAAAGATGCTGAGCATTATTCCTACATGTGAGATTGCCTTATCCACAGAGGAAACGACGTTCTCATGTTCACCGGTGTCGCACATACAGTCATCATGAAGTTCCGGCCCGCTTTGCATTGGGAGGCGATGACGGAGTTCCTGAACATTCTGAAGAAGGATAAAGGTCACGAGAAGCTCGGCGCAGTTGGGTTCGTAGCACGCTCCTGCCTTCACCGCCGATATTCGTGCTCACATGCATATATATGCACCCAGGTACTGCTACGGCGGCAAGTTTTCCGTGCATTTCAACGGCACCGGCGACCTGGCCGCCTCCGTCGCGTGCCACCCGTCAATGCTGAATATGGACGACATCAAGGCGATCCAGAAACCGGTCTCGTTCGCGTGCGCCGAGGCTGACTCAGCGTTTGGCGATCAGATGCGCGCGGAGGCGGAGAAGGTGCTCAAAGCGAAGAACGGCCTCGACTTAGAGTTCGTCGTCTACACGAACACCGCGCATGGGTTCGCGGCCCGGCCAAACCTGCAGATCGACGACGTTAGGAAGGGGTTCGAGGGCGCGCTGGCGCAGACGTGCAGATTCCTGTCCAAGCATTTGATTCAAGTTTCGTGAACTAGGCCTCCTTGCACGTATACCAAACGCCGTTGCTGTCCTGATATCCTGTTATGTGTGGTCAGTGGTGAGCTCGCCCTTGGTACGGAGACGGTTTTGTCGTCAATACATGGACGTAGGCGGGCAGCGTATAACAGAAGCGATGCGTACGGGCAGCTACGTCGGCACACGCAAGGCTTGCCAAAGCTCCGTTGTGAGAAGGCGTCCAGTGCATAACCATTTATGCCTTGCTGAGAAGGCGGGAATGGCCGCATGCATGTCGAACTCTTTACATAGCACCGATAGACAGTTGCACGATATCTGGATCAGGTTGCTAGTACTCGGATGACAGCTATTCGACGGAGTCTCTCCAGAACATCGGAGTACGGGACTATCGATTTGTCCAGCGTGAGGTCCAGCATCACACCCACAGTCTCGTACCTCTCGATCAAGACATCCTCGATGCGATTATCGTAGGCAATCGAGAACAAGCCTGGATCATAGGGTCCTGCATGGATGAACACCCTTTGCAGCCACGGTAGCGAAATCGTATCCGAGTATGGAGCGAGGAGCGGTACGACCGTCATGTAAGCATGAGCGTCGTGCAGCTCGAGATCCGTAGCAGTCGCGCAGCGGTCAAGGATGCGCTCGACAGGAAGCTCGCCGCCCATCTCGATGCCCATCTCGATGTAAGGAAGCAATAACCCGAGAGATTTCAGCCTGCTGAGACAGAGCAGATCGACTACTCCGAACATTGTCATTGGATCATGGTGGAAACCCACGAGGAGGGATGGGCGGGTTGCGTCGGGTGAAGCATATGCGCAGATCTCGTACCAGCTATCAAGCATAAATGCTGATATTCGCAATTTCTGCACGTAGGGCTCTCCCCCCTTACACGTGCAGTGAGTTTCGAGGAATGTCAATAATATCCCTGCATCCCATGCCAGATATTCGGTGACGAGCCGCAACGACAATGATGCGGTCGAAGGAACTCGGATGTGTGAGAGAATATCACATATTTGCGGTCCTGGGCCACATAGGTCTAGGCATGCTAGATGAGCGATCTCAACCGCTGTGTGGGGCCCTGCGATGGCTGGATCAAGGTGTGTGACTTCCGTGTGTATGACCAGGGTTTGCAGTGAGGGCATCACACGCAAGGCTGCTTCCAGCTCGCTCCCTGATGGAAACGAGTCTTCAGGGAGATCCTTCAGTTCAAGGCTGACCAGACCTTGAACGAGTGATGGACGATGCATCATCGGCCATTCCATCGAGACATGCGCGAGGTGAAGGTGGCGTAACCGAGGTGCGGATGAACCTAGAAATCCGTCTGGCAAAGAGCACGGCGATTCTAGAAAGCACTCGTGGAGGAGAGGGGCAGGGCGCGAACAGAGTTCCGGAGGGAGCGAGGTGATGTGTGATTTGAGCGCTATGCGAAGGCTTTCTATGCGATCCAGATGAGAAAGGACCGCCCTTACAGCCGCGCCATCTAACGTGCCCCTCGACGCGTCGGATACGTTCAGGTGAAGACGCGCATCCTTGGATCTCGACAAGAAGAGCTCGGTTAGATCCAGCCTTGTACGAGGCAGCATCGCCCAGAGAACGCCGGTGTCCAGCGCCGCTTCCCGCCAACGTCGGCACGCTTGAGTAAAGGCATGGCTCGAGGGAAATCGGGACGTTCCGTTCCATTCGCAAACGCAGAGGTGGAAAATGCAAGCCATGATCTCCGGAGGAAGCTGAGACACTGGGGCAAGTTGGTTACGGCGTTCACGCAACGCGCGCACTCGCTCATGCAAGGCTTGGATTTGTCTGAGAGAGGACTCGATCTCCATGTCGATTTGATCTTTCTCATCGGACAATGCTTGAAACGAGCTGAAGGGGTAGGTCGGCGGGACGCGAACGTCAACTTCGGATATGCGCAGACGAAATAATGGACATACGACGGCGTAGTATCCATAGTAAGAACCTGTTTATTCTCAATAAACCTAACAGGTGCGCGGTTAGCGCAAGTCCTGTGTAGTACTACAGTGAGTAATAGTAGCATATATGCGGGCGATTAGCTCTTACCTCTACCGCGGTCAATGTGGACGGAGGTAGAGGTTCGAGAGGTCAACCACCGGGCTTTGGCATACGCCCGGCGGTTGCCGGTGTGGGGTAAGGGGGTGACGTTGCCCGACGATCCTCATCGTCTGATATTTATAAGCGATCACGGATATGGGTGTATTTGTTAAGCGATCTAGCTCGGGGTACGATGAAGCAGAGTATGACTGTTGTTTGAAGGAGATCGTTGAAGTCAAGAGCGGGAACTGCAATATTAATCAGCCTCGCCATCATTGTTTCAGCAACGTACCTTTTACGTCGACCACCGTGCCCAGCATCTCCATCTTTCTGTGCTCAGCTTTGCCTAATTGACCGAGCTTCCAGCCTCAAATTCGTCAAAAAGATCCCGAGGGTCATAACATGGTCCTCAGGATTGGATACGGTCGGTGCAGCGCTAACTTGTCAACTTCAAGCTGTTATTCACGTTGTCCAAGTTCGCGAGCACTTCTCCTCGCCGTTGCTTCAGTACGAGGCTGCTGATGGAGGCAAGACGTTCGTGCTGGTGGAATGCCCTAGTACGTCCGGCAAAGCATGCTGGAGTCAGCGTACCCTCTTGGTTGAAGCGCGTGCGTTCAAGGCGGCACCGGTCAGTTGATCGGCAGGTTGGAGAAGGACGAGATCGACGTCGCAATGTCCGTCAGTCGTTTCATCTCCCTGTTTCTCATGTTATAAGATTAAGGCGTACTGATATCTGCATTCGTTGTGATCTGCAGTGCTCTGACGGATCCTTTAATCTCCGGGATCGCAAAGGGATCGACGGCATACAAGCTTGTGGGCAGCTATGTCAACACACCATTGAATTGGTGCGTCCCGAACTCTTTTCTCGTATTTCCATCGCGCATCTGCCAGTCACCCGGATTCTTTGGAGAGCATCTCTCAAGGTATTTTGATCGTTGTATAGGGCAGTCATCACCGGCACAAATTCCAAGTACCAGAGTATCTCTCATCTAGAGGGCACCACGATTGGTATTTCGCGCTTGGGCAGGTAAGCAGACATAACTATGTAAACGAACCAGGACCGATTCCGCGACTGCCCAGCGGGAGCCAGACGATGGCATATGTGATGGCCCTGCAGCAAGGTTGGGACACGGAAAAGATGCAGTTCAAGAGTGAGATGACACAACGTCTCCGGAGTGGATCGGGCTCATTCTCCCGTTGTCGGCAGTTAACAACGACATCCGCGGCCTGATCGACTCGGTAAACGACGGCTCGACGAGCGCGTTCATGTGGGAGTGGTTCACCACCAAGCCCTTCGTCGATGCGGGCGAATGCCGTTTCGTCAGTATCCGAGCACTGCTACCTTCCGCCCGCATACCCTGATCCCGTGTATGGCCAAAGATTGGATCCGTCCCCACTCCCTGGCCGTCCTGGCTTATTGCCGCGCACCCGTCGCGTGCGGGCTCTGCCGAGCTCCGCACATTCCTCGAGACCCTGACGGGCTACGTCCGCGCCTTTGACTCGCCCGAGAAGCGTGCTGAGGACGACGTCGAGTTTATCAAGAAGACGTGGGGGTATCCGGAGAACGACGTGAAGGTCAGTCTCCCCTCCTCTGTTATCTGTATTTCTCGACCGTTCCTCATCGTCATTGGTGTATATAGGCATGGCTACAGACTGTCGGCTACCCGGAGAACTGTGCTGCGATCCCCCGCAGTGTGATCACGGACACGATCAGGTAATGCGGAGCACAATTGGTCGTTACGACGTCGCGCTCACGCGGTTTCCGCAGCTATCTCGAGAAGGCGGGGGTGTTCAAGAGTCCCGAGGGCGGTTTTCAGGTCGAGTCGTTCGTCAACGAGGACGTCGTCCAGCTCACATGACGGAGTGCATCAATCCTAGGAGTATGAAAGCATTGCTGAGGAAACTGTTTAACGTCAATGGGAGCTGTACATTATATTCGGAAATTGGGGGGAGTATACACTGGCGTAGATAGGGTTGAAGATTTTAGAGTCCAGAGCTCGAGCTGCATGCTTCCTATGTACTGATGCGAGTGAGAGTTATGAAGGGAATATATGGTGCGAACAAAGAGAGGTAGAAAGACGACTAGATCGAGTAGATTAAGAGCGAAGATGGAGTAAGCGGCAACTTCGGGAGGGCAGTAAAAGGCAAACTTATGCGCAAAGATTACACTGAATCAAAGAGGTGCAGTCCGTTGTCGTGCGCAGATGTCGAGAGATCAAGGCTCAGATTAGAAGGTATTAGCGGGGAAAATATGCCTTCACAGTTCTTGCGTTCGCGTAGATTCCGTATCGCGCAGCCTAACCCCCGTCAGGTATCAGCACCCGAGAGATAGGCCCAAACCGGAGGAGAAGAGACTCACGCCAACCACAACCGGCCCCGCCCGCACTTGCTCCTCACCACCTCCCACTCGCGCTCGCCCCCGCGCCCGCACACCGTCTCCTCCAGCCCGATCCGACCTTCGCGCGTCCCGGGCCCTTGCAGCACCCATTCTCCACGCCAGCCCTCGCCGACCTCCGCGTCGCCCTCCCCGCCAAAATCAACGCGGACGGTCGCTAGCCACATATACTGCTCGACGACCGCGTGCCCGCCCGGCGACGCCGCGCTCTTGACGGTCACGCTCATGCGCGCGAGGCGGAAGTGGCCTTCGTCCGGGGCATCCGAGGAAGGGGTTGAGGCTCCGAGGGGTAAAGGAACAGCAGCGGGGGGTACGGGTGCGGCCGGGAGGCGGGGAAGCGTGAATCGATATACGGGATTGCCCATCAGCGGCGCGATGTGCGCGTAGTAGAGCGGCGAGGGAAGCAGCAGGGGGTCGGTCACGGGTGGTGGCGCGGGCGGAACGTAGGGAACGAGGCCTCGCCCGTCGTACACGAGCCACGTCCGGCCCGTGCCCGCCGAGAACGCGGACGTATCCGACTCGGAGGAGGCGGACATGTCGTCGGCAGGCGGGATGTAGCCAAGGTTGCAGACGACGTCGCCGGCAGAGAGGTGCGCCCAGAGGCCGGCGTCGGCGAGCTGCGCTTCGCATGCGCCGATGGAGGTGGGTGTGAGAGCCGAACACGGGTGGTATACGCGCAATACGGGTGCGCGCAGCCGCGAGGTCGCGGTGAGGATATCGTGCGCGGCGGAGGAGCCGGAGGTGAGGGAGGAGGAGGGCGACGCGGTCTGCACGGGGCGCGGGCGCGGGCGCTGAGGGCTGTGAGCTCGCTGGGGAGGGTGTACGTTCCGCAGAGAAGATTGCGAGTGCGCGGGGGAGGGGGAGGCGACAGGCGAGGAGGCACCTGAACCGCTCGAAGAGCCGTGCGTATAGGAGAATTCGTCGATGGACGGCCGCGGTTGGTGCCCGTGGGAGGCGGAGGTGCGGTGTCGCCCGTGCCGCCGGGGAGGTGTGAGCGGGAGGTCATCGTCGGGCGGTATCCACCATGACTTGCGCCAGGTACCGTTGTATTGCTTGAGCGCGTGCGGCTCTGCGAGCGGTTCTGGCAGAGGCGTCGAGCGCGACTTGCGGCCAAAAAGCGAGCGGCCGCCGACGCTCGCCGCGCGCCGGGACGCCTTCGAGGTTGCGGCCGAGACTTTGGAGGAGAGAACGGTGAGGTCGGTGAGGGAGGAAATGCCAGCTGCTCCCGGCCCAGGAGGCTGGTGCGAGAGACGCCGTGGATGTCGCGGCCGCCGGAGCGCATCGAATGCGGCCGCCGAGTCCGGGCGAGCACTATTTTGCGTATAGTACAGGGGTGCAGGGAAGTCGAGGTGCCGTAAAGACGGTTCTGAGGGAAAGGAGGACGCGCGGGGGAGGTCCGGCTCTGATTCAGGGGAAGGACGGGAGGAGGAGTACAGCAGCGCTTGTAGGAGGAGTACGAAGCGCGAATGCGCGAGAGCGAGGAGGGCATAGCGTTCCGATGTCCGTTCGAGATCGAGAGTGGGTAGCAGAGCGGAGAGCAGGGTAAGGGCGTGTGCTGGGTAGCGGTGCAACGGTACTCGTTGCGAGATCACTGCGCATTGGCAGATCAGAATGAGTCAGCGGATGAAGAGAACGACGTTGTACGCACTGAATCGCTCGAGATCGTTCATCGTGACGGGGACGTCGCGTAACCGGCGCAGATCGCTTTGCCCGAGGCAGAAGCGATATCCTGGCACATAGCGCGACAGAACGACATGCCTGAGCGCCGCGTTGCTGAAGAACAGCCGCCGGAACTCCTTCGAGAGCAAAGCCAACGAGCGGAAGTCAGCCCAGGAGAGGTGGTGCAGCAGCCGCGCGAGCGCGCCGGGTTCTTTGGCCACGCTAATGAACGGCACGCGGAGCGAGAAGGCGAAGCCCGAGAGCACCCGGGAGCGCCGGGCGGCGGTGTCGGGCTGGGGCTGGCTCGGGATCGCGGGCATCGGTGGGCGGGGACGCGCGGGCGCCTTGCGCGGGAGGGGCGGGAGGGGCTTCGGGTCATCAGGAGGAGCTGCGAGCCGGTCGGCGATGGAAAAATCGCTCGAGGACGAGGCCGTGAGCGACGGCGTGCTCGCTCCGTCCGAGCCGGTGCGCAGCATGGGGCTCGCCATCGTCCGTGCCCTTAGCTCGTCGTTCTGGGGGCCGTGTCCGTTGTCCGGGACGGCGAGCGTGAAAATTAGAAAAGCGGGAGGGAAAGGGGGGTGAATGGTATAATATATGACGGCGAGCCGGATCGGCGACGACTCCGTGTTACGCATTTTGGCGTGCCACTTCGTCACTTTCCGTGCGGTGCAACGCCTTCAGCCACCAGCGCCCGCTTCCTGCTCCGACCATCATGGCCAACGTGCGTGCATGCGGCTACTCGACTACCAGGCGCATATACTCATAGGAAATGATGTCGGCAGGCTGTCGACCTCGAGCGCGACATCTTCGGCGGCTCCGACTCTGAGCTCTCCTCAGAGGAAGACGGTGCGCAAAACCTTGCCGTGGACGCTTTTTCACCTGATATCGTGTCGTGCTGATACACGTTGTTTGTCTCCACTCGCTTAGATGTCCCGCAGCAGCGCCTGAGGGTGTCTCCGCCGCGCAGGGCGGCAATAGATGAGGAAGAGTCGTCGGCCGAGTCGGGCAGCGGGGACGATTATGCAGGTGAAAAGCGGCCCGCCTCACAAGCGAAGCGGCCGAGGAAGCAGCGGAGGCAGCGGGGAGAGGAGGGAGACTCGCGTCCCAGGGAGAGGAAGCGGAAGCGAAGGCCGCAGACGGTCGAGGACCTGAGCGAGCTGCCGCCCGAGCAAGGTGAGAACTGGTTCAACCTTCGATCTTAATTTGGCACGCATATATGCTGCGAACTGAACGTGAACGAGGGCTGACGACATGTTATGGTTAGCCAAGAAATTGCAGCTTGACATGCAGATCGAGGCGATACTGAAGCCGAAGAAGGCGGCGCGCAAGACGAAGAAGAAAAAGGGCGCGGACGAGGAGGTGCTTGACCGGTTCGCGGACGAGGAGGTGTCGCGTCTGCGGGAGGCTATGCTTGCCGCCGCGGATGACGACGAGCAGGCGAACAAAGAGAAGCTGCCTGCCACGTCCAAGTTGCGCCTGCTACCACAGGTGATGGACGTGCTTCGCAAGTACGTTTTGTTCACCATCGCCCCCTGTAACTACGTAGTACTCCGTTACTCATCACGTTCGCAGGTCGTCCCTCGAACAATCCATCATTGACAACAACCTTCTCGAAGGTGTCCGGCGCTGGCTCGAACCCCTGCCGGACAAGTCGCTCCCGGCACTCAACATCCAGCAGCAGTTCTTCCGCGAGCTGCCGACGATGAAGTTCATCGACGCCTCCGTCCTGAAAGAGTCGGGCCTCGGCCGTATCGTGCTCTTCTACACCAAATGCAGGCGCGTGACGCCGGACGTGCAGCGCACTGCGCACGCGCTCGTCGCCGCATGGTCCCGGCCGATCATCAAGCGCTCCGCGAGCTACCGCGACCGCGTCGTGCCGATGGCGGAGTCGTCCGGCGGCGCCGGAGGCGAGCGGTTGGGCAAGATACTCGAGCGCGCGAAGGAGAGCGAGAAGGGGCGGGTGAGGAAGAATGCGGTCTCGATCCCGCAGAGAGAGCTCGGGACGTATACTGTAGCGCCTCAGAGCTCGGTGATGAGCGCGGGCAAGGCAAATGTCGAGGCGAGCGTGAGGATGGACAACGAGAGGAGGATGAAGAACGCGGAGCGGCTGCGGAGTTTGACGAGGAAGATGAACCTCAAGGGTTAGAGAGGGTCGCAGTATATGCCTTCTTCATCGTTGTTATTCGTGTGGGTGAGTGCATCTCGGCGTTACATGAGCATGGTTGGTGTTGACGGACTGTAGGTAATGGCCGTGTTTCTTGTAGATCGTTCAATGTGCTATCATAGGTTCTGGCTTGCTTGTATTCCTGAAGGGCTGAAGAATGGCATCCATTCTCTTGCTTTTGCGACTGGCCAGCACACCGTCCGATCACCGACGTCAGCAAGGGGCTTTTGCTTACCGGCATCAAGGGATCAGCCTTCTATATACCAAGGTTCATGGACAAGCAAGCAAGTCCGAATAAAATTCGCGGGTATGAACCGCGTTCAGTTATTTGGTGTTCGTCCATTGTTGCATCCGTTCGTTGACGTCCTCGATTCTTCGCCCCTTGGCCGTTGCGATGCTGACGCGTGTCTTGCTCTCCCCGGTCGCTATTTTCAAGTGCTGTTTCAGGTACTCCTCGCCTGCCAGGTCTCATCCCAGGAGGAAGACCGGCGCGCTACGGTTCCGGCGTCTCCTTGAGCTGGGCCAAGGCACCCTTCTACGACCATCCTCGCTATTCTTTCCCTGAACCACCGCGTACGGTCTCAGTGGATGCAAAGCCCCTTGTCGTGGTCATCACCCCCGAGAGACTTGTCGAACCTGTTGCTTGTGGCGGCTTGCCTCTGAAAGCGAGGATCCGTGGAGGCGTCCGGGGTCCGGGGCAAGGTCCGTTTCTTCATCCGTCAGATTCTCGGACGTCTGACCGTATCATGGCAGGTGTCCGCCGGCAACGTCGCGACGGCGTGAAAACCGTTTCCACCGTACCACCAAGCCAAGGAACGCCACTCCGGCGGTTTACTCGATCGCACGCCCTGCGACTAGTCTCAGAATCCGGCGCCCCTGCGCCCTCTTCTTGGTGAGATGAGGGCGGTTCCGATGGACCACACCTTGCCCCCCCGGTGCGAGACAATCACGTCTTCTGACTCTGATTATTTCCACCTTGCTGACCTTGTTTCACCGAGACGCCCCTGGTTCACCGCGCAGCATTACATGTGAAGTACTTGATCAATGCCGACTCCTCCGGATTTATCGTGACGTCGTGCTGGTCAACGATGGGGTTGGTGAGTCCGACCGCGCGACGTGGAGCATAAACGTCATTACCGAAGGTGACTGGAATGCCGTTCTGTAGACGCGGTTCTGCGTGCAACGTGTATAGTCTCATGCCGCTAGACTTATGTCCGCACTCGCCCTTTCCAATGATGCGATCGCGCTTGATACGCCAAAGCATTCTCTGCTTTCAAAGATTCCGCGTCGGCCTTTGATCGCTCCCTTGCCACATTTCTCCGTTCACATGCATGTCACTGTTTGTGTGCCTTCGCTCAAGATTCTTTGGTGCACAGGTTCAGGCTCGTTGGCAAGATCCGCCGGGGTCCATCTTGACATCGCGCACATGGCAGATGGTACCCACCGACGCCCATAGATACTACACGCGGGCGAGAGAGAGGGTAAAGCTTCCAGTTCCACGCTCTCGTTGACGTGCCGGCGTCTCCTTATGATCGTCTCGTCCTGCAGGCGCCAACATGCGACGACGTCGATCTCTTCCATCTGTCTGGCCATATATGGCCTGCATGTGACGGCACCCACCTCGAGGCTACCTCACGACCAAGGAAGGTAGCAAGGTAAGGCGGCGTTGTCTCGGTCTCAGCAGTGCAGCTTGGGGCGGTATGCTTCAAGCGAGGAGTAAACTCCTGATCTCACTCAGGGCCGGTGACGATAAACGTGCCCGGTAGGTTTCGTACCGTATCGAACCGCACTGGTGTGAGGTACCCCGACGCCCGCTCCAGGGGGGTAAGCTAGGTTTCAATTCGGGTGTCATCCTGGAAACATACTACATCGCCATGGTACGACCGTCGACAGATCGCTCGCATTTGCTAACCTTGGCTCATCTTATCGCCATACCATTGTCGCGAAGGTCGTCGTCGCGTATAGAGAGGCAAGCGTCCTTGACTTCTGATGGACCTTGTGCCACTCGAAGAGGGAGGGGAGGCGCCTCGAGGCGGGACCCCGAATGGGGGGGAAGCTGGCGTCGTGGCGGGGGGTTTGTGATCGTGAAGCGGGATTTGGGTGATGATGCAGATGTTTGTGATATCGACCGAGATGGGATCTGATTCCGGTTTGGACGATTCTGATGATCACATGCGGGCCACTCATGGGGATGCGGACGGGGTTAAACAAGGTTTAGGTCGAAGCAAGGTCGAAGTCTATTGCGTTGAGTATTACTATGCTGTAATCGGATAAGGAGGAGGTTCGGTCCGGTGCAGGAGTGCTTGGAAAGGAAAGCGATACCAGCGATCGGGAACGAAGCTCTGTCGACCTGGATTGGGGAGGAGGTTTGTCTCCGCCGATCATCCTGGCGGGATGAGAGCGTCATGCGCGGTTTGGTGGGTATGGGATGCGTGGGGTGAAAGAATTACATGGTTTGCGGGGAACCGGTGCATGAACCTTTCGGTGCGAGCAGCCGAAGGTGTACTGGGAAGGGATAAGCCTGGGTAACATGGTAATATTGAGGATATGTTAGTTCACCGTCGACGTCAGGTACGCGACGGGCAACGTGTATGAGGTTTAGGGCAGGGCGGTCGGTATCCATCCGCTATTCTTGCGTTTTATTTTTATGCTTGCTGGGATCGTGAGGCTGTTTGAAGGTGTCGCACTGTGAGATCGTACCGACACGCCCTCGGTCCCTTGGTAAATGGAGAAACAGAGTGCTATACTTACGCGAGGATGAAACCGATATGTCGGGATAGCGATGTGAATATTGAACAGGATGGGAGTATCCGGGGGTCGCCGCTCATTCCGGCGGGCAAAGAGAAACGCAAATACGGAGCGCACGCCCATTGTGCCCTTCAGTCACTGCCCTCCGTCTTCGTCGTCGTCGTTCGTCCCTCGCTCTCTCTTCTCGCTCTTCCCCCCGACGCCCCCGACGATGCACCAGGGCGGACGCGGCGGCGTCGTTCCCCCGCCGCTCGCGCTTGCGATGCCGCGCCCTCACCTTGTGCGCACGCGCAGCGGCGCGAGCCGCTCCTCCCTCGCGAGCCCGCGCACGCCGAGCTGCCGCTCGCCCGTTCCATCCGCGTTCTTCTGCCCCGGCAGCAGGAAGAGCACCGACAGCTGGGGAAGCTCGGTCGATGGCGACGAACCCGAGTTCGAATGGCAGACCGACCAAGTTCTGCTGCTCTCCCGCGTGAGTATTTTATTCTCTCGGTCTTCTCCCCCTGTACGACGTGCGAGACGCGTGCTGATGATTATTCCGCAGACTCTCGACGCGCTACCCGCCCATATCCTCACGCCATTCAACGGTTCCGTCCCGCCCGCCAACCTCCTCGACAAGGTCGCCCGCGGCGTCGCACAAGCCAAGGGCCCCGAGCAATGGCCGCATTCCGTGCGCGCGACGCGCGCCAAGCTGCTTGAGCTCGCTAAATCGCGCGCAAAAGAGGAGCGCCAGAAGCTGGTTTTGCGCGAGGAGGAGGAACATCCGCTCAGGACGGGATCGCCGATGGACGTGCTGCGGCAGAGCACGAATACGCCCGACAGGCCGGCAGGACGGAGCAAGCTACCGCTGTACAGGCAGTCGAGCATGGACTTCATGCAGAGCGCGCGACTAAGCGGGTCCAGTGACCGCATGGCACGGTGAGCATGTTCATTGTTCTTCCATCCGTCTGCACGCCGTACTAAACGCATATATTCTAGCCTCACGAGCCGCCTCCAACGAGTCGCAAACGCGCACCCGTCATCATATCATCCCTACTCCCGCCCACGTCCCCGCTCTCCTTCCCCCAATTCCAACGAAATATCAAACTCGAACTCGACTGGGAGCACCGGTCGCACTGAACTTTCTCTAGGACCCACTCTAATTTCCTCGACGCCTTCGTCGACCACGCTCAACTCGTCCTCTGTCTCGTCGCGCCTGCAAACAGACGCGAAGAAGAAGGCTGCGCAGCGGAGCTCGACGTCGAGCGACGGCTCCGGCCTTGGCTGGGTGCTCGATCCGCGCATACAGCGCATCCGCCGCTCGGACTCGTTCTCGTCGCTGTCGGCCTCGAACGGCTCGCCCCGGAATTCGGGCGTATATGCGCTCAACGTACCGCCGATCCTCAAGCGCGCCGCGTCGTACTCGACGATATCCACTACGTCCTCCGACGGGACGAAGATCAGCGTCGACCCGCCTACTCCTTCCCACCTACGTACCAATCATAACAATTACTTTACACGGCCTCAAACCATGGGACACAACCGGATAGACAGTTTCGCGAGCACGTCTTCCACATCGTCGGACGAAGAGGATAAAGCTCGCACGAAGCTGGCCAAGAAGATGCGTGTCAAGAGCCCGTCGCCGACGCCTACCGCGCCACCCTGCACACCCGGCGCGCCGGCGCCGGCCCTCGGTCAAGGCAAATCTAGCACCAAGACGAGACGCTCTCAGTTGCCGACCCTCGCGCCCTCCAAGGGCTTCTCGACCCCACAAGTTCAAGCGCCGACGAAGAAGATTGCTACGCTCTCTCCGAGCACGACGCAACGGCCGCGGCTGAGGCAGAATGTGCAGCGGAACCCGAGCATGCTGGGTCCCGAGTTGCCCAAGATTCCCGCGTCGCCTTCTCCCACGACCGAAACACCGGCATTGAGGGCTAAGACTGCCACACCTGCGGGGGGCGCGAGCGTGAAGCGGAAGAAGACGTCCGGAGCGCTCTCGCCCGCTTCTCCGGGCACGCCGCCGCCGCCGACGCCCGCGAGCCCGTCGCTGAGCCCCGGGCAGCACCGCCCGCTGCGGCGCATGAAGGCGATCCCGCTCAAGGGCGTCCCGCACCTCGCGAAGCGGATCTCGTTTGGCAGCCTCGCGGCGCCGAGAGAGGAGGCGCCGGCGCCGGTCGTGCACCATCTTCCGCGGACGGACGACGGGAACGGGCTCGGGAGCGCGTTCCAGCTGCATTGAGCGTGCGTCGACGTCCCTTGCGTCCAAGGGAGGATTCCACGGAAGGGGGCGGCGCCCTGTCCTCCTTCTGCGTCTTCTGCTCAAAATGGCAGAACCGTATGCCTAGTGTAACATCATTCCAGCCTCTACCGCAACTACCCAACACTCATGGACACGATCTCGTCCGTTATTATTTCATCATCATCAACAACAAACATCAGATGGGACAGCGCTCGTCTCGGATTCCCCGTCTTCATCCAACCCAATCCGACGCGTCTGTTCGTCCCGGCCCGGTCATCCTCAGCATTCTCGGCATCGTCCCGTTTCTCAAAATTATCAAGTTCAAGGACATTCTCTCCCTCCCCTCTGGTCTCTCTTCGACCCATGCGTCTTGGGCATGCGAACGCGTCCGTAGCCACACCGACTGCAACCCATATCGACTGCTTGCGAATCCCCGCTGCTACCCGCCACCGACCCTCCGACTCGCTTGCGACCGCGCCAATTCTCGCGCCTCCACACACGCTCGACTCCGTACGCGTACATGCGCCCCCTCGGTTCTCTGAGGAGACTCGGCGCCCCTGCTTTACCATCCGATGCTCTCGCTGCACCGTAGTTTGGTGCTCCTCCTGCACACATCGTCAACCCGCCATGCGCCCATCGCGCATACATCCGGCCTTTCCACCCGCTCTGACATGCTCAGGTTACCTGACAACACGTACCCTCCTTCTCTCATAGATCGGTCCCGCGTCACTCTCGTTCAATCTCCCACCGACATCCTCGTTCCGTTTTGGAAACCACTGTACACTCCCTTCATCTCGCGCTTGTATAGCCCCCCTTCGTCATCGGCATCACACGGACACACCACTCTCATTCAGGCAACTCCCCTCTCCTCGGTCTCAAATCTCACATATCGGTTCGATAAGTTATTACCTCGCCGGAACCGGAATTCTGGTCGGGTTGTGTGTGCTTATATCCTTCCCCCCCTCCGCCCCATCCTCCCTACATCTCGCTAACGGAGCGACCGTCCGCCCGCTTATCGCGGCGCTAACCTCCCCGATTTATACATCGCATACGCTCCTTAGCTGGCTTCGTACCCACCCAAACCACCCTCGTTATCCAAGTGGGCAATACGCTCACTTCTCTATCAACTTTGATTTTCGCCTCTCACTCTCCCCTCCCCTCCCTCATCCAAACGCAGGACCTTTCGAGTCCTTGGTCGCAGCGCGGTCCTCTTTGCACGTATTCACGCATCCGGGTCGGTCGCAATACATCCACCTCCCCCTGCTTGTCCCTTTCTTCCTTGCTTCTCTCGCAGCTTTTCTTTTCGGTGTAACCTCAAACGTTTTGCTTCTTACTCAAAATCGCCCTCTTTTCTTTGTATTTCCTTGCTTGTATTCAGGTTGGATTCGTTTTCTGTGCAAATATGGATCGTTTATTTTGCCGAGCTATGGAATGAGAGTCGTCGATACGACGATACTTGCAAAAATTCCTAAGAGGTAGTATCGCATGTGCAATCTCTCTGTAACAAGTCTGCTTGAACTTGCGCGCCGGTCAACATATCACACGTCGGAGGAAGCTTGATTTTCGCTGGGGAGGCCACAGGTAAGAATGCTCCCCACATCGTTTGGAACTCGAGCAGATGCATTATGAAGTCTTGCAGGGTACATAGGGACGAAAGTAGACAGTGATACTGCCGAAGCGGGCGCACCCGTCAGAACCCGAAACGCCAACGCAAAAGACCAGAGGACAGACTCACGAGAGACCGGACGACTCCCCGGCCGGCGAAGGCGTTATATCCCGATACCCGTCTCCGATGCCTGCCTCTGCGCCTCGATGCGGTATAACTCCGCGTCCGCTTGCTGTTGCGCTCGCGCTGCGCGCCGTTCCGCAATCTCCGCACGCTTCTCGCGGATGAGCTCCTGCACGCGCTGGTCGCCGTGGTAGACGTAGTACCCGATCACGCCAAAGACGCCCATGTATGCCGCGTGCGCTGCCGGGTCTGTGGACGTGCCAAAGAAAGCGAGGGTCAGCTAGGTGGTTGCCGGGCGAGGAGAAGGATGAAAACACGGACAGTGCATGAGTGGTCGTTTTTGAATCCCGAGTTGCCAGAAGCGAGTGGCGAGGCCAAACAGGCTGAAGCCGACGGCGCTCTTCAGCGCCTCCTTGTTTTGTGAGGAGGGGGAGGCGGACATGGTGGAATGTCCGGCTGCAAGGTCGCGGTTGGGTGAGAGGGAATCAGACGGAGTTTGCCGAGCTATCCGTTCACGCCACTGCCGGGACTGAGCGCAAGCCACACAGGTCTTTCAATCACTTGTACATCGTCCATACACCTCTCAGCTTTCTGGAGCTCAAGCATACGGCATGTCTACAGCAAACTGGCCGGAGGATGTTCGCGTGAAAATCGAGACCGCACAGAAATTGAAGGATCAGGGCGACCAAGCATTCAAGGCGGGAGATGCGAGAGGAGGTGAGTCGAAGCGCTCCTTCCGTTGCCGATCGAAGGCGATTTTGACCTGGCAAACAGCACTGGTACACTATCATCAGGTGAATATATCTCAATTATCAGTTGCGGTTCGGTGGTGCCAACGCCCATAAGTAGTCCCTCATGTACGTGAAAGGTATCAGCAGGTAAACACTTCGGTCATACGTTCCACGACCGATGGGCCGGAATAAACTGATCATATGCGCGTAGAAATACCACCGATGCCATGTCCGGCGGGGCCAATGACGGAACGAGACCCAAGACCGAGGTGAGCAACCCCGCCACTCGTCGTGTTACGCCTCCTCATCGCGTCGCGACAGGTAGATGAATTCGAGGAGAAGATCTACGCCAATATGTCTGCATGTCACCTAAAAACTGAGAATTGGAGACGAGCGGTTGAGACCGCCGATCAGGTCCTCTCTCCTCTATCACCGCCGGAGACCGTGGCTGATATGCGTCCCGTAGGCCCTCAAGAAGAACCCTGACAACTGGAAGGCCATGTTCCGGAAAGGAAAGGCGCTGGGATTGCAAGGCTACTACGAGAAGGCTACAGCTATCCTGGAGGATCTGGCGAAAAAGAATCCAGCGGGTACGTGAACTTCGCGGAATAGACGTTTGGTAGGAATCCAACATGATCTCATGTAGATGAGCCGGCGGTGTCTGCGGAGCTCAAGCGTATCCGCGCGCTCGATAAGGAGGCTGAGAAGAAACACAACCAGAAGATGAAAGGTGCGTGTGCTGAGCTTTTCGCTGGGTCGACTTTCGGTCGAAGCTGATCCTTGATTCTGCTACAGGGTGGCTGTCGCGTGACAAAGGTGAAAACTGGTTGCTCGGAAATCAGGCGTCATCTAGCACTGAGGATGAGGAGATGGAGGAGATCAAGTCTCCTGCCATCCAGGCAGCTGGGTTGTAGGGCCCGGGAAAGGCTGGGCTGGCCACATAGTCCTATTTTTCTTGGCAGATTTTCACCTTCGACGTTCCCACTCGAGCTCATTTTTTCTACTCGCATTTTCTCTTCGTTATTTCACCGCATACTCCATTAACTTTGTACCTGTATACATTGCCGTGAGCCACAGATTCACTCAGTCCGCAGAGCCTCGTCCGACTCTGTTACGCGATCACGTGCATTGGTGACGCATCGTTCCGCCGAAAAACGTGACGAACGAGGACTCTGCTGCTTGTCAACTTGTATTGTGGCTGGTGATGCTCAGGAGCATATAGACCATGGCAAACCCACACAGACAATCAATCTCAATGGATATATTGAACAGTTACTTCCCCGTCGTAAAAAGTGTCCGCGAGTATCTCTCCATCGTGGTACAAGACGATATGGCGTGGGGCAACGCTAGCACGGACCCAACCAACTACATGGACCTGCTTGACAGGGGCCTGATTGGGATCGATAGCATCGAGACAATGACCTCCATAAGACTGCGCGTTGAAACTGCAGGCATGGGCATGCGAGAGGTACGCGAACTTCAGTGCGATTATAAGACACGACTGATAACCGATGGCTGTTGAAGATTGTAGACAAAGCTCAGGAGCGGCTGTTTGCCAAACATGGCGGGAGACCGAACAATATCATCACTGCTGGTTATCGATCCGTGCGTAATTCGCACTGGTGCCTTGCTCCGTACTGAGGGGCATAGGCAGGCATCTAAGCGCTCAGAACGCGGGAAAGTTGGTATGAACAGGATCAGCGTCACCAACTTCTTCGTCAACACCATCGTTACCGCTCTCCAGACTCCGGAATGGGAGCTCCTTCTGGCAAGGTGCAGTGTTCGTCTTGGGCGGGAGGATTCCAGAATACTGATAGCACCGCGAATGGCAGGATAGGCCCCACTGCCATGCTCCATCTTCTCACTGAAACGTCTATCTTTGTCCCTTTGCCGAACGACTGCTACTGCCAAGTTGCAGGCGACTTTCTCGTCCACCGCAAGGCACCTGCTCTGACAACAAACAACGCTAACCGTCCCCAGGCACTTCCCAAGAATAGTCATGAGCATATCTCGGACGGCGGTATGATCTCGTGTAAGAGGAAAGCGGACCCGGAAATGGATCCAATGGAGCATCAACCGGCCAAGCGACGACGGCTTACCCTCAGCCGTTCAACGTCGTCTGCCTTTGCTGGTTCATTCCGGGCGGTCAATAGAACCACCGTGCTACGGTGCGAATAACTTTCAAAGCTTGCCGCGTAACCTGATCATACTATTGCCCTCTCAGCCATACACCTGCCGATATATCTTTCCACCGGGCCAGCCTCTTTTATGCGCGACTGGTATTCGTCCCAAATACCCAACGGATATGCGTGGGACTGTCACCTCAACGTAAGGTTCCCTCCCATCTTGCTGCTTACTGTGAAGCGATGACCTTCATCGATAGATATTCTGAATCGAATCCAACCGAGCTTCTTTCGTCGAGACAGCATACCGCCTGAGCAGTGGATTGACCCTGATCCCAAAGAACAAGCAGCGAACGCGAGACATCTGTCGAAATACGTTTTCGCTAGGCAGTACGGGCTGTCTTCTCCCTTCTCGTCCACCGTCGAATATGGCATCGGAGAAGCGAGCAATAAGCGGGCAAAATGGTCGAACCGAGAGGAAGAAATCCGGGTAGGTAAATTGACTCACGGACGCATCCGAGCCGCCCTCATGCCCGCATTAGCTGAAAGGACCATGCAAGACACCTCAAAGAGTGAAGCCCGCCCTCGATCTTCTGGAGAAGATGATTTGGCGGCACGGGAAGTGCGCGTACAAAGCTCTGCGTGATAAAGCATGCCCATCGAAAGTGCGTGAATAGGAAGGATATAGCATGACCCTGTGTTGACATGATTAGCAGCTTGATCGCGGGGATAATAAACCTCCTCTAGATAGCTCCGTTATCCTGGTAAGAGATTATGGACTACTTTGACCCCTCGGCACCAGACCGATTCAGCGCAATGCAGGAACTTCTATCCGAGAGCTCGATTCAGCTGCAATCGCAAGCGTCGGACAACGACACCTCGGTCGACTCTGAAGGGCGGACGATCTTGGCGACCGGGCTGACACAGGCGGAGAAACAGGTCAAGCAGAAGCCTCGGTTCGCGGACTTTGAGTGCAACCACCACGAAGTGCGTATTCTGCATGACGGCAGCCGCCCATGAGAGAGTCCGAACGATGACGCACGATCAGGTTTTCCGATATGTCATCCTCGTCACGAAAGCAGTGATACCAGGCCCGTTCTGGGGATCGGCGGACAACTTTAAAGTAGTCGAAGCGAGTAAGAGCACGTTTGAATGTGAACCGATCGTATTTTTTACCCCTCCTTCGAGATATCAAGCGCTTCATCGCTGGACGACGCTACGAGACCTTCACGCTCCATAACGTCATTCAGAACTTGAATACTTCGGACTGCGGATGGCTTCAAGGGTCTCACGGGAAGCCGAAGAAAGCCAAGGTTAAGAGCGGTATAGCGCTCACCGACTCTTTGAAGCAGCGCGAGCTCCTCGAAGATTTCATGTTCTGGTTCTTCGACTCCTTCCTGCTGACACTGCTGAAGGTGAGGCACCGTTGTCTGCATCTGGAACATCGTTACTCAATAGCCTGCAGACAACATTCCACGTTACTGACTCCTCCGTGTTCCGCAACAAAGTACTCTATTTCCGGCATGATGACTGGGAAACTTTGTCCAAGCCGCTCGTCGATAGGTTGACATCGTCGACCTTCCAGCGCCTGGATCGCGTACGTTCTCTCCCTACTCCGAGATCCTGACTCTGATTTGTACCGTAGCACGATGCGGAGCAGCTTCTGCGTCAACGTCGTCTGGGATTCTCATTCGTACGTCTTCTTCCGAAGGAGACGGGAGTGCGTCCGATCGTCAATCTCAGAAGGCGGCAACCTGCTGGACCAGTGCGCAACTTTCCCTCGCTGTCCTACCCACTCTAGCTAATAATGCACATGGCAGTCATCAAGACCGGCCGAATCCATCAACCATATGCTACAAGCGGCTTTCCAGATCCTGGGCTTCGAAAAGGCGAGACACTCCCAGCGGCAGATACAGCTTAGAGGTTGACGAATATCCAGGTGAACAAACCGGATCTGTTGGGCGCGTCCGTCTTCGGCTCGAACGACATATATCCGAGGTTGAAGGCCTACAAGGCTCGATTGCTGGAAAACAGTGCAGCTGGTAAACTGTAAGTACCACAATCATGCAAACTGTCAATCTTTCAGACTTCTTACTGCCGCATATAGGCCGCAGCTATATTTCGTGAAGGTGGACGTACAAGCGTGCTTCGATACCATTGAGCAGGGTCGCCTTCTGAGCATTTTGAAGCATATCGTCACAGAGGTGAACATAGCTCATCGCGAGATTCCGAGTTACGTTTCGACTGATTGGCATTAGGATGCATATATGATACAGCGATACGGGCACATATCAAAGGTCGGCCGTAAAATCCGGAGGATGTACAAGAAAAAGGCCATTCCTGAAGGTACGGAATCGTTGCATTTATATGCACGTATTGAGCGCGCTCATAAAGCTTTTGTAGACGAGCACCCGCATTTTCTCGCCCAGGCCAGGGAAATGGCTACGGCTTTCAAGCATACCATCTTCGTGGATCAGGTCCAATACTCGTACGAGAAGACGCACGACATACTAGCGTTACTGGAGGAGCACGTCACGGAGAATCTGGTCAAGGTGGGCGTTACCTTACGCTGTCCGTCGGGAAAAGCAGGTTTATCGCGGCTTCAGATAGGCAACGAATACTACCGTCAAATGGTCGGTATACCCCAAGGATCAATCTTGTCGGCCATACTCTGTTCTTTCTTCTACGGCGACTTGGAACGCAACCACCCCGGTTTCCATCAGGATTCCAATAACGTAGGATGCATGAGTCGAGGACAATATAAGGTGCTAACCTCTCGTAAGCAGCTCCTCATGCGGCTCATTGATGATTATCTCTTCATCACTACGGACGTCACGAAAGCACGTGCATGGTTAGCGATGATGACGAAAGGTGTGTTGTCCCTCCATTGGGGACGTGCATGGGCTGATGGTCCACAGGTCACCCCGAGTATGGATGCTTTATTTCGAAGGATAAGACTCTTGCGAACTTTGACCATGGACCAGACCTGGCGAGCACGGTGGCACCGCTTCAGAAAGGTAGGCCTATTGCGAGGAAAGTGCAAAGAGAAAGCCAGCTAAGGTCGTGTTAATGCCCATGCAGCTTTTCCGTGGTGTGGCTACAGGATAGATATGCTTAGCCTCGCGGTGAACGTTGACTACAGCCGCTTTCACGAGAGATGTAGGTGATGCTCATACCGTGGAAGCGACGACTTAGGCCAACCTCCGTGTCACTTTCGCAGACCTTCGCGATTCGCTGACGGTTAGCTACGGTCGTCAACCCGGAGTTGCATTTCAGCAAAAGATGCTTCAGTACGTGAAAAGCGTCTTCTTCCCATCTGACTCTGACTCTAATGCCATGTTCATCAGGTTGGTCAAGCATCGCAGTCATATTATCTTCTGCGACACAGATCATAACGGCTTGAACACCGTCTACTTCAATGTCTATCAGAACTATCTACTGGCAGCCATGAAGATGCACCACTACCTCCACGAGTGGGGCAAGGATGGTTTCAGAAATCAGACTTTCCTATACAGTACGTTATCTGTATTCACTCGTGCCTTGTTTTCTGACTGACACGTCTTTTAGATACCGTGAGGCAAATCGTCCGCCATACTTATTGCCTTATCCGGAGCCGGGCATCCTGTGAGGTTGCAAAAAACAGCGGGGCTAAAAGCGATATCAGATCGTCTATCGTCATCTGGTAAGAGATTCAGAAAGCCAGCAAGTCTTGCACCGGATCGCTTACGAATATGCCAGGTTGGGCACCCACGCCTTCCACGCGGTGTTGTCCCGAAAACCGCAGCGCTACGGTCGAGTCCTGCAAATGCTCGCTGCGGAACTCAAGAGTGCTGCCTCCCGGCGCTATTTAACACAGTTTCGAGCTATCATACGCGATGCGTCTACTATCGTCACTTCTCTATGTTTTTGACGTTCTCGAGGGGAGTTTCTGTACGCGCAAAAGCATATTTTGCGCGGAGGTTGTACATGCCAGTGTCATCCGTACTTATATCACCCAGGCGCGAGGGCACCGACACGTTATATAAGATGATGCACATTTGCCAAGTGCTGTCGATCATCGCCTCGTCTCTCCTCGTGTTTACCGGGCTCGGGAGAACCGGCTCTGCTGAGACGTTCTGCCCTGCTCCGTCAGACTCACCTCCTGGTCACGTGTAGTCCCCGTATGTCCATCGTTCGAGCTGACAAGGTCGCACGTCTGGGGGCGAAATATGCTATTTCTCGTTATTCAGTGCTCTTGCAGTCGCCTATAAAGGCACGGTCAGCGGGATGGCAGTTGCAATCGTCGTTCGCTGCGCGCCCAATCTGCACCGGTCTTTCACACCCTCGAGACGATTCGCGTGCTCGCACCTCACGCCCATCCACCCGGTTAGATACCCGGCGACCGCAATTGAACGCATACCACCTCTCCACGCCTTCGCCACGATCGTTTGCTACGTCCTCTGAGTCCGCTATGGGATTCTACGATTTAAAGGCTGAGCTTCCTGGAGGAAAGGTGTACGATTTTGCGGATTTGAAGGGCAAGGTCGTTCTGATTGTTAACGTTGCCTCGCAATGGTGAGCCGTTCGTTCGCTCGTTCATCCTCAGCTCGATATCTGACGATCGGATGGTCTAGCGGTTTCACGCCGCAATACAAAGGTCGCATCCCATCAACGAGCATATCGCGATTGATATCCTAACGTTCGTGCAGGTCTCCAGGAGCTCTACGATAAGTACAAGGACAAGGGCTTCATCATCCTCGGCTTCCCTTGCAATCAGGTATGTTGCTGTCTATACGTTGACTCGGATAGCACCTCACTGCTGTATGCAGTTCGGCGGACAAGAGCCCGGAGACGACGCCGCTATCAGCCAATTCTGCACGCTCAACCACGGCGTCACCTTCCCGCTCATGAAGAAGTCGGACGTGAACGGCGACAACACGAACGAGGTGTACAAGTGGCTGAAGGGGCAGAAGTCAGGCCTGTTGGGCCTTACCCGGATCAAGGTACGATCTTCCTCCTTCCGACCGCGTTGGAGCTATAGCGTTGACCTCTTTGTTGTTTGGTGCAGTGGAATTTTGAGAAGTTTCTGATCGACAAGAACGGGAACGTTGTCCATCGTTGGGCGTCCACGACGTCGCCGGCCGCTATCGACGCTGAAGTCGCCAAGTTGCTCGAGGCATAATCAGGTCATGATACGTTATCAATCAGCAGGATGGAATGCAAGCTGCTTCTGCAAAGAATAACAAAGAACATTTCTCCACCTGAACATGTGAATGACACTGCGGGTTGCGGGTTGCTTGAACGCTGCGACACTCACACAGCGCGTGGATGATTCATGCTATGAGGGGTCGATAATGAAAGACGAAGGTAACAAGTGGCTTGTCATCGAGAGGGTGGCATTCGACATAGTTGGGGCGAGAACATCGTTGGTCTCCAGTAAAACTGGGGTAGTAAGTTGGATGAATAGAAACGGTCCGTACGGAAGTACCTTACGCGATGCCCTCCGAGCGTGAACCTGGCACCTCGACAGGAAATGCTTCCGGTTTCTTCTTCCGCAAAATGTTGACTGTCTATCTCCAGGGTGATCTCGCCGAGCTGTGCCTCGATACCCAAGTCCATCAGGGAATCATCGTCTGCAGCATGCACATATGAGCTCGCATTTGACTAAGTCGATGCACTCATGGAATCGGAGTCTAACCGGTAAGTTCGAGCGTCGAGAACTCAAACATCCGCAGTGTGGACACTGACGTTCGAACACCCTCGCAGCATTCCCGACCGCCACTTTTCATGCTTTGCAGATCGCGCAATATGATTCTAGACGGGCAGGTGAAGCCGTCGACGGACACCCTGCCTCGGGTTGCCGTGCTGCATTTGGCGTCTCGCCAGTGGATTGCGAATCTCTTCAATGTAGATGTGCACTCATCGTCACAAGTCAGTGGATATATATTCGTTATTCGGACGTACCTGACCGGATTTCGATGGGATCCAGCATGTAATTTGTGTGCCTGTGGACTCGACAACAAATTCTGGCAGTTTTGCGCCGTCGGCGTCGGCAACCCAAGTAGAAAACTCTTCAAATTCAGGCATGATTCGACCACAGTGTATGTGAGCCTTGCCCAAGGCCGCCTTCAAGGCGTTAATGGTCAAGAGGCGTCGGGCGGTGACACCATGCCAGCCGCTGCATAATGTTTTGGATATATTTATTAGCTTTGCACTTCGATACAGGTCCGATATGGTGTAGTGGCTAACATTATCGCCTCTCATGGGATTCAATGAGATTCAATGAATCACGTGCGCGATAGCCCGGGGTTCGATTCCCCGTGTCGGAATTCGTTTTGGTGTCTGATCGCAGTTGTACATTCTCCGCAACTTCCTGGAAGTCGGGAGACCTGCTACAAGGCTGTATTTGCGCTGGAAACGCTCTCCGGGGAGCTTTTCATATTCAGGGGCCGTTTAATGACATGTCAAGTCACAAGTGTCATGCCAGTGACGTGCGTGAGCGAGAAGCTACTTCTCGGCACTCAACTTTGTATCACGGCTCGAACAATCATAGTCGTTGACGCTGTTACTCGTACGGTGCAAAGAAAGCTTCATGCAAACGATCAGTTCGATTCCCTGTGTCGGGAGATTTTGTTGCTTTTCATACATGCATGTAACATGTATATATACCGCCCAGTGAAGCAATGCGATTGTCGGGTGAGGCACGAAATTAAAATGTTGACCGGTTACTATTTTGGAATGATGATGGCCAATGCACAGACCATTGCATTGTGGTTTGCCACAAAGCATGGCCACGGTTCACGAGACAATAGCGGACGAGGGGCATAAAGCCAGGGACTTTAAATCCGTTCTCCGTTCTCCGTGACCTCGTTCTGCAAGATCGCCAGCCCCATCTGCCTTACAGAGATGCCAGGCCTCGACTCGCTCCCGCAGGAGGTGTTGGAGATGATCTTCTCGTACGTGTGCACCGAAGGAGGCTACATGGGCACGGTTCTTTCGAGGGTGTCCAAGTTCATCCGCCTCGCGTCCGCCCGCAACAGGTTCCAAACGCTTTGGCTCGCTGGGGAGCTGCCTCAACTCGAAAAGTTCGCCAAAGAAATTGCCCGCGCCGACCGTCCTTATCGATTCAACGTCCAACACCTGCTCATCATGGTGCCACCCATGGGGGAGATACATTTTCGAAACCACACCCTGACCGCTTCGATGATTGGCACACGATGGATTACGAAGAACGGAAGGTGCTTCACAAGAAGTTCGCGCGCCAGGAGATGAAGGAGCGTGCGCGGTGCTTCAAGCGCAGGCAGGCGTCGCTCGGGCTGCTCGTCCGACAGATCCTCAAGAGGGCAGGCCCGACCTTGAAAAGCCTGGCGCTCATCGCCCCCGACCTCGACTTCGCCAAGCTTTACCGTGACGCAGCGGTGTTCCCGCGCCTGACCGACCTCACGCTGCACTACCAGTCACTCAAACGGTCGAACGCCTATGAATTCGGCCTCTACCTCCGCGGCGACCCGGCCGCGATCCATCGCAGTCCGCCTTTGTACACCGTGCGCCGCCTGCACCTGTTCCAGAACGGGTGCGGGTTCGGCGAGGATTGGCATCACTTCGGACCGGTGTTTCAGGTCGTCCGCGCGACGTTCCCCGCCGTCGAGTATATGCGGCTCTCGGGCGTCGGACCACAGGAGGACGTGTTCCCGGCGGCTCTGCGTGCCGTGTTTGGTGTGCCGCTCGACGCTGTGATGAATGAAGACAAAGGTCCGGTCTTCGCCAACGAGAAGCGATGGCTCGTTGGCCCCACCTGGCGCTCGGGCCCGCAGCGGCTGGAGGCAGAGGTGGAGGCGTTGAAGGGCGTACTGAAGACGCTGAAGCGGTTGTACCTCCAACGTCACCGGACTAAGGAGGGCCCCGATATGTACGAGACGTTGCGGTGGTTGGCACAGCGTGAGGAGGTCAAGGAGAAGCTTGTCCTACTCCCGATAAGGGAGTTCACAAATGCCGGATGGTACGCCGCCGGGCCGTGGTTCGCGAACGCCCTCGGGATAGAGACGTGCTACACGGAAAAGCCGTTCATCGAGCGGAGCGTGGACAATGAAGGTACTGCCCTAGATCAGTCAAATATGTGTCGCAGTGCTTGTTTTGGCTGACTGCACCCTGCAGATACGTCGCTGTAAGGCAAGGTAACGGCAGGGAAGAATGCTATGGGTGGGGGTATGCCTGATACTCTCCCTCAGATTTGGCTGGAACTCACCAGTACATGTTCATACGGCGGAATATATATCGAGCAATTTGACATTGACACGTTGACGAGAGCCGGAAGAGTCCGCAAGCCCATCATTACCGATGGATGCTACTGAATCTCTTGAAGGAATATCAAGTTGGCGGGTGCATAGCACTTGAAGCTTGGGGATCCAACAATCAGCGTCCAGGAGTGGTCAGAAGCGAAACAGGCGAGAACAGGAGATACTCTCCTTGGTATATGCACGTGACGTTAAGTAGCTCCGTCTGAATCGGAGTCTCCCAGTCGCGCGTCTCGTATACTTTACCTTTAAGCGTTATACACACAAGATTCAGTTTGCTGTCATGGAGCCGAAGCTCTAAAGCCCCAGGTCCTCGAAGACGCGTACTGTATTGCAGCAAGGCTAGCTGAATGTCTCGCAATGGAGTCCTCACGCTTGGATGCGTTTCTCGAAATACCTGAGCCTGCGAGATAGCCTGTCATTGAGCAAAAACATCGTTTACAGTGAGTCTTTGTGATGCATTTGTATATGAAGTCTTTGACTGCGATGACACGAGGACGTGAGTGTAACAACGTGCGATCGCCCGCTGGTACGGCGGGTACGTCACTGATTTCCTCTCCTACAAACACTTTCTTTGATACAATGCCCAGGATTTTGGCGGCATTCGCTGCGATAAGGGATCATCAAAGGGCCTGCCCCTTCAACCAGAGGGGTCGTGAGGGTACACCGCGGGTATGAGACTGAAAGGTTGGCGGACCAGAACAACCTGTTCTCGCTAGTCGTATGCAATGACTGTGAGTGGAAGTTCAGGCCGCTACTTACAGCGGATTCTGACCAATTTCTGAATCCAGCACGACGATACTCGTGCGCTACAGCTTCTGGTGGTGTTTTACGGACGCCCCTGAAACATGGTGAAAGCGCCAGTCGGTCAATAAGACCACCATCGCCGGCCAAGTACATACTTGGGTTGCACGCTCAGCCGTTGATTGATACTCGTGGGCTGAAAGCGCCTACGTTGACCTTTTCCGTCTCGCCCAGAAGTACTTCAGAGACGAAGTCCTGGTTCACGGCGACAGACATCATGATTCCACTTTGATCTTCCCTCACCTGACCGCCTGCCCTTAAGATGCAAACGTATTTAATACGCTTTGTTCAGGTTTGGAAGCAGATAACTCGTCGTCCACCCGCTCTCCACCCGCTCTCTCCCCCTACACGCCACATCCACTGTCTGCGCCCGTGCCCGACACCATGATTGCTCCCGCCGCTCACGCTGCAGTGCCTCCACAACCAGTCCTTGACTGGACCCTGGAGTCATTCCTCAATCTTCCGGAGTCTCCGGGAGGGCTGAACATGTCTACCGGAACGCCGCTGGTCGCGTTGATTCCCGTGAGTCGTGCTCGCATTTACAAACTTCCAAAGGCAAACATCGAGGTGCTGACCCAGGGCTTTGGCGCCTCAGACCGCCGTGATCCTCGATGGCTCCCCAAACCCCGCCACGTCGTCCCGCGCGAAGGCGACGCCCGTCTCCACCGCCTTCTACCCCGGCGCCCCGATCAACGCAGGTCCCGAGGATGTCATCCTCGTCTCTAGGGACCTCATCCTCTTCTACACTCACTCCCGCATTCTTGACAGCTCAAGTAACCGTTTCAATGGCTTGCACTCTCTGCGCCGCTCGGGCTGCGGCACAGCCAGCGCACCCCGCGTCGTTTCGGTGCCCGAGGACGCCCAGGTCCTCAACGTCCTCCTGCACTTCATATACGACATCGACTGCGTGCGCTACTCACCTGCGTTCGCGCTCGCATCGAGCGCACTGCAGGCGCTCCCGAGATACGGATTCGACGTCAAATCTGCCGTCGCGCCGGGTCGCAAATCCTTCGATTTGTTCTTGCACCGATACGCGCCCGCCATGCCGATGGAGGTGTACGCCCTGGCGGGCGCCCATGACCTTATGAGCCTCGCCGTCGCCGCCTCTGCGCACCTGCACGCGTTCCCGCTCCCGAGCATCGACGACGCGCTCGCGGAGCGCATGGGGGCCCGGTACCTCCGCCGCCTGTTCTTCCTCCACCTCGGCCGGACGGACGCGCTGAAGCGCCTCTTGCTCGCGCCGCCGGAGCAGCACCTGCCCAGCCCCGTTTGTAGCGTCGAGGAGCAGAGGGAGCTCACCCGCGCGTGGGCGCTGGCGTGCGCGTATATCGGATGGGCCCCGCGACCGAGTGAGCTTCCGGGTGTTACGGCTATACTGCCGGTTGTCCTCATCTGAGCGCCGCTGATCACGTCGCGCAGATCTTAGTCGTTTCGAGATCTTCTCGGTGATGAGTCCGTTGGCTGATGACCTCACCTGTTCCCAATGCAAGGTCTCGTTTCGCGGACGGGTGTCGACGTTGATAGCGCACTGGGCCGCCGTGAGGGTGAGTATCGTCTATCATTGGAGCGAGCGCTAACGGATGGCGTGGTTAGACGACCATAGTTGAAGACGAGGATGGTGCGTGCTCGTGGTAAACGCAAAACACACGGCAGGCGTGCATAGTTGCGACTCGGACCCCCTCTTCGTCCGAGTGTCTTGATACCTTTCTCTGATGCTCTGCGTCCATGCGACCCGTTGACTGAGCACTCCCGACTCAGACATACACCCGTCTTTTGTCCGGATCGCCACTCAAGGAGGATAAAACGTCGTATCCTACCACCTGTACCATTACCTTCGGCGGAAGAAATCAACCCATCATGCTTTGTATGTGATGACCGGTCGCGATCCCTGAAACGTGACCAGACAAGGGACGTGCACCATGAGTCCAAGTAATAAATCATAGACCAGCCTGTCAACTTGAACGTGGACAACGTCGAGGTTCAGTTTCCCGACGAATGTGCGGCGATCCGTGGGCTATGACCAGGATATTTCCAACTCCGGAACTGAGTCCTTCAAAGCGGCTAGCTCCAGCTCTGAGATTCCTTCGCAGTTGTTGAACGTGAGTGACCGAAAATAGGGTCCGCCATCCTCCGTCGTAGTTCTGCATCGCAATGCAATCTCAGCACGACAGACGCGGTACCACGAACCGTCGTGAGCATCGGCTTTCACTATCTGGAGCGAGGACAGGTTCGGCAGAATCATGCTTGCCCGATCTAGCGGTGGCGCCGACGAGCTCGGCGCAGTATGTATGGCGTGCAGAAACCACTCTGCGGCGGCTTCGTGGTATAGATCGACGTGGCGAAGAGACGACCAGTTCGACAGGGTCTCTGTTAGGCTCGGTCCAGCTGTCAGCCCACGGAAGTGTAAGCGGAGGCTCGACACTTCTGATCGCCCAAGATATGACCCAATCCTAGCGAAGATCTCCTTTACGTCGTCCTGCGAGATCCTCTCAAACCTGACGCGTACGGGATCTCTAGTTCGACCTCCGTCCGGCGCGTCGGGTATGAGCGAGCCGAGAGAGATGCTGGAGTCTTCTACGGTCAACGATAAACTAGAAGCCCGAATGTACGGTTCGATGAGCTGCCACAGGTTGGTGGAGTGTTGGGTGCAGTCTGTATGACAGTGAATCGATAATCCTCGGAGTGGTAGTGATGGTTTCAGGCTGTCGAGGAGGTCGATGCACAGTTGCGTAGCACCGTACACGCTGAGGCGACGCAAAGAACGCATCCGTGTTTCGCAGACACGCCGCTGCGTCGATGTTCCGTGCATCATCTCTTGATCAGAGTGGATAGCATGGCAGTGCCTGTGATTATGCATGCCACGCACGCGCAACCTCTCCAGCAACGGCAAACTGCCGAGAACATCCAGGGCATCCGCAAGCACGTCTTCGAACGTCGTCTGTAGGTGTAGATAGCGCAATCCCGGCGAGCGCAGGAGAGACGATCGCCATATTGCGGGCGACGGGGCCCGCATTAGCTTCAGATGCTGCAATGCGGGGGTTCTGAGCCGGCAGATGGACTCCATCACGCTGATGAACGAATGATCATATTTATCAGGCAGCACGAGGGAGAGCGTTTGCAAAACCGGGGCCAATTGATCAAATCCATCCAAGACCGTGCGGACGACGGCTCCTCTCCGGCTACCGATCCGAATTTCGGCGATGCGTGCGGTGTTTTTGGCGAGGATATTGGACAGCATCACGCTGGCATCGCCATTCCACGTCTTCATGCCCGATTCACGGATGCGGAGGAGGTGATTGTCGAATCGACGGCTCAGAGCGAGCGCTAGATGTAGTTTGTCGAGGGGCAGGCAGTTCCATAATGACGGTGTGTTCAGGGCGATTTCACGCCATGATACGCAGACCTGCGTCAACGACGGCGACCATGTCGTATCTACCCATGGTGGGCCGTAATTGTGGTCTTGAGTCCGGGAAATTTGTGAGAGATGAAATATGATTGCCATGACTTCGACAGGAAGGCGACTGACGGGACGGGATGCGTTGTGCTCGGCGCAAAGATCGAGAATAGCATCGGCGATGTCCTTCAACCGGCGGCGTAGTCCTTGTATGCGCTCGGTACGTGATGCATCGTGATCATCGATCAGGTGTGTAGCGGACGAGCAGGAGGACGTTGGACAGAGCGGACGATGACTGACTGCGGGATCGGTCGACGATTCATCAGGATATTGGTCGCCGCAGAGGGCTAAAAGCTCCGTGCAGGTCTCCTCGGCTTCGCGATTGAGTGTATGCATGCGTTCCACGCGCTCCATTGAGAATGCAACCAGCAGGTCTTGTCGAATGCGAGGGCGATGAAGGTCTCTGACGGGAGTAGTCAGAGTGGCAGATACAGCGATAGACAGTCAATCGTATTCCGAGATACCAGCCCGTTGACTCAGCCGAGAAGCGCCAGCTGGAGGAGAAGAAGAACACGTCGGAAGTCGGAGGTTGGCAGTACTCATGTAGGATGGAAGTCGTCGTGAAGGTGGTGGCGGCGCGCAAGGAAGAGTCGAATTGGGAGAGCGGTGTCCGAGGCGGGGCGTGATCGTCGTTTGAAGCAAAGGCGGGCGGGATCCTTCCTTTTTGGTCAAAGCGGTTTCCGCTTTGGGAGGGCGGATGTAACGTGCCGGTTCTCCCGGAGGTCGACCGAGACCATCTTTCCTTTTCGAGCAAGTCGGCGCTGGCGCGCCGTTCCCCTTTTGATTATCATTCTACGACCACATGCTCCATCTGACGACGACGAGGGTATAAAGTCAAGCTACCTCGTCGTCTGGAGCTCACCTTTTGGTACCCTATTCTACCTTTACTCGAGTGCTCAAATACGAGATCTGTGACTCTCTGCTTTGTGCCGCTCGAGAACCTAACCGTGTGAATGCACCTTAGCCTTATCAGGCTTTGCTCGCGTCACAGTAAGTAATCTGTAAGTTGTCACATGTCACATCCCAACTCTTGTGAGTAATTCCATCTTGCTCTGTGGGTGGAGATCAAGATGGCTACTTCGTAAGATCCGAACGACCAAAAGCGGCGATGTACGCGGGATGCGTAGCCTCGGGATGATATGACAGTGACCTTGGCTCGTTGGCAGCAGCTTCGGAATGGGGCTGTATCCCGTGGCTAGAGTCGAACGGGGATGATGTGGTGATGCGGTCGAGGAGACCGGTAGGTGACCCGTTATGGCTGGATTGGGTATGCTGATGAATGCCCGCGGGCTTGCCATAGATGCCATAGATGCCGCCGTTGCTATCATGCGCGAGACCGAAGAGATATCCGCGTACGGGTGGGGCGTATTCGATGAAGGTTGCCGGAACTCGTTCCTTCGGGGGTTCGATGATGCGCTCGATGTCGCAAAGGAGTACGCAGGAGTCGGACTTCGTCTCCGATGGCGGTTTGATAAGGGTGGGGACGCGACGGATGGAGGGGTACGCGAACGTCGTGTCGAGCAAGGGGAAGGAATGGCGTGAGGATTGACAGTGGTTGAAGGTGCGAACAATCTTGCTGGAAATCTTGAGGGATTCGAACTTGCTGACCTTGAGGAATGTGACAGAACAACCGGGGAAGCCGAGGACGACATATATGCGCCCTCCGGGCTGAGGATCGACGAGTACCTTACGGACTCTGATCCCTCCGGCGAAGACATAACCAAGATGATCCTCACCCTGGTAAGTAATACCGTCTATGTTCGGCAATGGCGTTGACGCGTGGTCATGCAGCCGCTTCGCCGACTTCGTGATTGCATCCAACGTCAACAGCTCAGGGTTCACGACGACCAACGAAGTCTCGTGAACTATGTCTGCATCATTGCACCACGCCGTGGTTTGTACACTAGCATATGCGATATTAAGAATACGACGGCCTTTCACCTCCTCGAAGATCACCGTCGGTCGCAAGCTCAAATACCCTCTAGTGAGGTCTGAGTACCAAAGGTGCACGGTTCTAATTGATTCTACCGTCCCGCCCTCCGGCGTGCCGCTAGGTGCGTCAATCGAGGCATTGAACACGTCAAAACTTGGAACCGATGGGAAATCAACACTCGTGCTAGTGTCTGACTCTTTCCCAGAAATTTGGCCCACAATATCGCCACACGGAGCTCCGCCTGGGGGTTGAAGCATGCCAATTGCAATTACCATCTCGTCTATCCGTATATTCCAAACATACGGTGACAGGTGACTAGGTGGCGTCTCGTCAAGAGTATCCGTCAGACCGGCGACAGAGTCGCCAAACCAACGGGGTCCTACGACGAAGACGCTAAGCTCAAGTCGCACTGCTCGCACATTGTCCAAATAGACAAGAGTGGGTCTGGACCCATGGTCGTCGTGCTCGTCACAGGCAGCATCCGTCGTGAAGACACACGGTTCCAGGTATTTCATAAATTCATCGCAACAACCAAGCTGACGCTCGGACAATGCAAGGTCATCGACTTGAAGCTGCGAGAGAGCGATATCAAGCTCGCCCTCCGCAACTTGTCGTTTGTCGTCAAACATCCCATAAGAAATCAAACCACATTGCAACACGTCCTGCATCTGCGGACCAGTGTCGCAGCCATTCATGGACGTAGTTACGGCATCATCGTACATATTGACATACGCAATGGCATAGCTCGCCGTGGATGCAGGTGTGTCGTCTTCATCACACTCACTGCTTTCCTGATTACGATCGTCGGGGCAATTACGACGAATATGACCTTTCTGATGACAGTTGAAGCACAGGCCATACTTCATGTGCTCCTGTAGCTCGTTCTCAGACATCGTGTTGGGTTCGGATTCAGTATCCGACTCCTCAGACCACTCACGCGCATGGAGGCTGTTGTTTATGGCCCGCTCTGCGACTATAGCACTCTCGAGAACCTCCTCGTAAGTGCTGATATCTGGGTGCAGCCGGTCCATGTATAGTTCACGACTGATTGCATCACTCAGCCCGTTCCAGAAGCGTTGAACGAACTGACGGGGTGATATCTCATCGCCGAGATCATCCCAAAGACCCTCCATGGTCGCGGCGTAGACCTTAACAGACGATTCCAGCTGCTGACAATTTTGCCAACGATCTCGTATTGCATTCAGGAATCCGTCGGGGAAGCAGTAGTTGAACAGCTCGTTGAAGAACTGATGTACTGACCACCGTTCCGGTTGCTTCACAACACGCTTGACGAACATCTGGGCCTCCTCCTCGAGGAAGTGCCCTATCTTTGCCACGTGCCGCTCACGACTGATCATTCCATCTATCAGATACTCGACTGATTCCTCGACGTATCGCTGGAACGCATCTAAGTCGTCTCGCCCATCGTACACTGTTGGGGGCTCGGGCTTGACATTCGGTCTCACAGCAGCAGCTCCGGCCTTATCCATGGTGAGCATAGCATCTTCCAGCTGCTTAAGTTTACGCTCAAGTGTCTGACCAAGCGAACTTGTCGGTGATATGAACTGCGACGGCGGCGCTACGGACGCACACGCCCTCCGTCCGGCAGACCTGCCTGACGCCAGCACGAACGGCTGTGCCGTACTTGTATCATGATGTTGTGAGCAAGCATCATCGTCACGTTGTCTCAGAGTGCCCGGAATAGGGCTGGATACAGCTTGATTGCTCGTGGACACGTCGTCCTTGACGTATGAAACTTCATGCAGACGCTCTCGCACTGAACTACGAGATGATCCCTCACGAAGGTCTTGCTTGAGGGTCGCAATTTCGGCGGACTGCGATTCTACGACTTTGATGAGCTTCTCTACACTTGCCGCCAGGTCAGAGATACGTCGTTCGGCTGCACGACAAGCCTCTTGTTCCATGATAAGTGCACGCTCTGCATCATGCAGCTCACGGTCCCGGACATCCGTCCATTTACGCGCTCGGGCTATGACATCTTCAACACTGCGCCGTGACCGTGCTTCCGATGCAACACCATCAGGTATAGGCTGATCATCGAGCACCAATGGATTGCTGACATGGATACGACTAGACAGGTAAGACGAGCCCATACCATGTTCAGTGCTGCTACGCGATCCTTTGTGCGACAGCCACTCCTCAACGGAGACATCTTCTTGTCTTCCGACGTAATACTCGACCCCCGGGTTCGACGCACAAGGCTCGACCGCCACGAGAGGCGCTCCAGGGTTCGATGCACGAGGCCCGACCGCCACAGGAGCAATAACACTACCTCCAGGGTTCGGTGCACGAGGCCCGACCGCCACAGGAGAACTATCATCAGGCGTTGGTGCCGCAGCACCAACCCTGTAGGCAACATCTGCCGCCACCATACGACGATGGGGAAGTGAGGATCCGGTGCTGTCCCTCGACAGCCCGCCGGATCTGAAAGGCGACGGACCCTGCGTGTCAAGATCGAGACGGAGCTAAGTCCGACGCCGGAGGTGTGACGTCCGGACCTAGCGAGATGGTTGTCGGAGTCGAGTCGGAAGAGAGTCGGAGAAAGTCGGAGAAAGTCGGAGCAGAGTTTCGAGATACAGAGAGTGAGTGCGAGTACGGACCAGACTCAAGCTTTAAGGCTTGAGTCGCTACGCGCTCTAAGTCCGTGTCGGAGCAGAGGAGTAACTTAGTCGATATTCGAACTAAGGAGTTAGAGTACAGGAGCTAGGAGTTTATATACGCGGAGGCACGGTTCGGAGCTCGTATCGATAGGGAGTTATCGGAACTATGAACCATGTGGAATAAGGAGTTATCGGAACTATGAACCATGTGGAACTGTCAATCGTAAGGACGGAGCATATGGTTACGAACTGAT